TTCCAGAGAAAACACGCATGAGTGAAAAACTATCTGGTTCATTTTAAAGCTCAAGTGGTATTATTTAGAGAATTATTTCACGTATGAGAATGCAAAAAATATGGAAATAAATATGTATTAAACGATTTGAACATCTTAACAATCAATACAAATAAATGGTTGCTATCAGGAACCGTTTGTTTGAATCAAAATTTAGCATGACAACCATGTATACAATAACATGGGAGAATTATCGCTGTAATTCTCTCTAGTTAAACAAATGGAAAAGAGAATTTTCGCTGTAATTCTGAAAATCGTCACTTGTCTTATGGGATTTCTAACACATGAGTGGAATAATCTAGTGAAAAATCACTGTAAGGAATGTCGATAGGAAAGTTCTGGAAAACTGCTAAAGGGAAAATTTTGAAAATTTTCCAGGATAAAGAGAAAAGTGATGAGCTCATTAAACGAAAGGAACAACGAACCCAAGATTTCTGTCCGGCGATCCAAAGCCGTGAAATTATTTTTTTTTTCTTGGTGTAATCTCGATTTTTTTACGTTTTTTTTTTGCAGTTTCGCTATGGAGCTCACGGGCCCGGGCCTGTGTGCTTCGCACACATGGCACACCGGTAGATACGCCACTGACTCTCACATGCTTCACTGAAATCTAGCATTTAAATGGACCGCGGATCGGATCTGAGTGTCCAATAGAAATGCCGGAAACATATCGAACCACTACTGGGGTTCAGGGTTCAGCGACCATAGCCTCCTCACTTGAAATAGTCACGAGCCGCCACTGCAATTTGAGACTGTGGAAGAAGGAATTTCGATTATTATCGGCTCTTGAGTCTCGACTGCTTTTAGAAAAATTCTCTAGCGTATCAAGAGCCGGTAATAGTTGAAATTTTGACTATTACCGGCTCTTGATTGGCTCCAGGAAAGTTTTCTAACGAATCAAAAGCCGGTAATAGTTTAAATTTTGATTATCTGTTAGCTCAGATGAGCAAAAAATCATAACTTTCATCATGTAGATGAATTATTTTATCGAATTTAAGACATAAGAAAAATGGGCTTTATTAGCGAAAAAACACTGACATTATTGTGCACACATGCATTTTCTGGAAAATTTCTCAATGTCGAAATGAAAATTTCATAAAAAGTATGTTGGAAATGAAAGTTCGAAATATTTATTCTGATCAGTCCTTTAGTTTATTGTTTATATCTATGTGTCATTAATATGTCAGGTGACAATTTCATTGTTAATTATTGCTAGTATTGTTATTAGTAATTCTATGATTAGTTGGCGTCGTGTTGCCTAGCTGCCTGTTTATTGTACTTCAGTTGTTAATTAAAAATTTATGAATATTGTTGAGATCATAGTTTTTACTTCACAAGAAACACTCCACATTCCAATAAAGTAAAGGTTTTTATGTCATATACCAATACATTATTGTGTTTTTATACCTTAGATACCATCTACATAATTCATTACTTTATGCCCGTGCGGGCATAAAGTACACATTATGGCCCGCGCGGGCATAAAGTACACATTATGGCCCGCGCGGGCATAAAGACGCAAAAAACAGTTTTCGATTAACTTATTCTTTATTAAAAAAATATAAATTTACGCTTATAAACATATCATTTTTTGTACAACTGTCAAAAAATGATGATGTTTGCACACTGATGACAATTTGCGAAGTGACACTTTTGGTATGACTGCGAAGTGACAACTGGTATGACATAAAAGTTTGTATGCACCACGGGTACTAATAGATATATATACCCTCGGGCGACTTACGAACCCTCGGGCCAGAGACCCTCGGCTTTGTAAAAGTGTCGCCCAGGGGCGGATGGGCTCAGGCGGGACACCGGGACGATTCCCGGTGGGCCGGAGAGCCAAAGTGGGCCGGTTAAGGAAAAAAAAATACGATAACAAACAATACGCCGCAACTTGATAGAAAAAAAATCGCTTAAGGCGTAATGCGACAACACTCTGCCAATTCAACAGAAAGCAGTCAACGTTTTTTGTCGTTTTCACAAGGCGTTGAACTGCCATCTAATACTGGAAAATATTTTCATTAAAATTTAGACTTTTTCTGTAAATTTACCCTTTTTCTGTAAATTTATACTTTCTCTGTAAACTTATACACTTTTTCTGTTCAATCAGATATTACCGAGGACACTACCAAACTTACCTATAATAACCCGCTAAGTTCGAAATTTTTGTCAGACATAATCAAAGTTACCAATAATATCCCGGTTAGTTTTTGTTAGTTTGCAATTATTGTAATCAGGGCCGGCCCTACCATAAGGCGAACGGAGCGAGCGCTCCAGGCGCCAGACCCCGGGGGTGCCTCCGATTCGTTCCTTGGTGATAAAAAAAAGAGAAAAATATATTTTTGCTGTGAATCCTGTCTTCGCTTTTCGATATTCTGCTATCTGAGCCGCTTTCCAGTATGGAAATGTGACGCTCGGAGCTACTCGGAGCGTTGAGCTATACGTACGGACAAACGTCACACGTCATGACGGTGTGACATGTGAAATCTAGTGTGTGGCGTTCCCGGGGTGCTCTAAAGCGCGCCAATATGTGCATACTGGAAAGCAGTTCTGCGATTCTGCTTGCGAGCAAGCGTGTAGTTAGTATGTGAATCCCACTTGAATAACCTGTTGCGACGTTGTTTTATGACGCGCAGAAGTCGTGTGCGTGGCGTCGCCCCTACATGATCAATGATCATAATCACAATATTTCGGGATTAGAACTTTTAAGGGCCGGTTTATTGATGTTCAAGAAGAATTTGCTGTTAACTGTCTACAAGATAAATTCACCGATCTATTTCTATTGGTCGATGGATAACGCGGACCAACAGGATTGCAGATTGCATTTTTGTTGGTCAGATTGCACCACCTGACAGTTCATAAAAGAATGAATAAACCCTGAAAAAAAAAATCTGTGGTTGAAGAACCTCTCAGTACTCCAGAATTTAGCATTGAATAATTGGCAATATACGTTTCCTAATATCTAGACAGCTCTCGACTCGAGCTCTCCCTATTTTTGTAGCCATTCTTGTGGCGAAAGGGTGAACGTAGCTTACCACTTAAACTTAACATAACTAAAACATACCTTAAGTCAATTCTAGCAGAAAACATACTTTCTGATCTAGCCCTGCTGTCCATTGAAACTCATATAGCACAGAATTGTTATATGAGAGGATTATGAACAAATTTGCAAATGCAAAAATGAGCAAACAGCGACTCACCTACAATTTTGTATTTTGCTGGTTCGATTTTTATATTTATTAGAGCCGGTTTATTCACCTTCTAACAAACTGTCAGAGTCAGGTACCTAATGCAATCTGACGGACAAAAACTGTATCTGCAATTCCATTAGTCGGCTAGTTATTTGCCGACCAATAGATTATAGGTTGATATCTATCTTGGAGATAGTTAAGAGTAAGTTTATGTGAAGATGAATAAATCGTGCCTGAGTGTTGATAAGTGATATTACCGTAGAAATTTCCATTATTTGTGTGTCTACTTTAAATCAACTCTTAAAAGAAAAAAAGTGGGTATAGACGGTATAGTTAGAACCAACTAAGAAGAGCCCCTGACGTCATCACTGAAGAAGAAGGCAAATTTTTTAGAGGCCCTCCCATTTGATGTGAGACAAAAGATCACGCGGTGGCTTCTTCTTATTTGGTTTTATCGATACCATTGATACCACTGAACATGGATGTTTTCAAATTTCAATTGATAAGATAGTTAGAGACATCTAGGTATAACAATGGTCAAAATCCATATGCAAAAGATTCACATTTTAATTAGGGGCGCCGAGAGGGACGCCAAAGTCGGATCTCGCTCCATCCTGAAAGTAGGCTCGGGCCGGCACTGATTGTAATCAGACATCACCGATAATAACCCGGTTAGTTTGCAATTTCAATAGGATATTTTCAAACTTACTAATACTAACCCGGTTAGTTTGGGTTAGTTTGCAATTGTAATCAAACATTAAAACTTACTGATGATAATCCGGGTTAGTTTGCAGTTTCAATCAGAAATTACCAAACTTACCGATAATAACCCGGTTAGTTTGGGTAAGTTTGCAATTTCAATCGAACATAACCATTTTGTTTTCAAAATTTGTGTTAGTTTGAAATCTATTGTAATCAAACATTACCAAACTCAAACCTACCGAGAATAACCGGTTAGTTTGGGTTAGTTTTCAATTTTAATCAGACATTTTTAAACTTACCGATGTTCCTGGTTAGTTTGGGGTTTAGTTTGCTATTTCAATCAGACATTACCAATAATAACCCGGTTAGTTTGGACATGCTTCAAAATTATTCGAAAGAAGTTATTCAAAGTCAATATGTTCCAAATGGTTGATTTTTGAAATGAAAGCATTCGGAAAAAAAAAATCGCAATTTTTGTTTTCGAAAAATAAACATAGACCTGTAATGTCTGAATAAAATTGCGAACTAACCCAAATTGCGGTACTTAAATTTGGTAATGTCTGATTAAACAGAAAAAGTGTAAACTAGGATATGAAAATATTTTACAATACCTATCAGCATGGCTCTACACTTTTGTATTTTTGAGTAATATAAGGAGGTTTTTTTTTTTTCTAAAAAAGGAGACTATTTAATATCCTATCCAGTGTTATTCACCTCCTGTGAGTGCGCGGGGCCGCTTGAGTAAAAACCGTCCCGGGCCGATTCAAAGTTGCCCATCCGCCCCTGGTGTCGCCCTCAGGGCATAATCATCTACTTAGTACCCTTGATACATAAATAACTATTATGCCTTTCAGACAGATTTGGTAAAGTCTGTTTTTTTTTAAAGATAAAAGTCAAAATGACATTATGTTGGCAGATAACAAAAAGGGATTTTTTATCTATCCCAAACACAAATCAGGATAAAAACTATTAAAAAATCTTTTATCTGTAACAATGCCTATACTTTAGATTATAAAATCATAGCTAATTAGCGAAACATATTCATAATTTGTGTCAACATCCTGTAATTGAAAATGTACTAAAATAAAGTAACTTATTACGTCATCCCAATCTTAATTAATATTGTTTGAATTAATCCAGTGCGGTGCCTCATTTTTTTTAGTGTAAGTATTGCATATATTTTCTGTTTTCAAGTATTCATGGAACTTTTCAAATGAACATGGATTGGACAGTTTGAGATAAGTAGGTAGTCCATCGTTTGGGATTTTTTAAAGATGCTATGGAGATAGATGTCTTATCTTAATATTCTCAATATTATTTTGAAAATTCAGTCTTAGAAACATCTCAAAAAAAGTTTTGATAAAAATTACTACCACCGATAGTGTCATTATCTTATTGTCCTAAAAATTAATTACGAGTTTATCAAGGTTTCCTATTGATGCCAGATATTTTGGACTACATATTCTATATATTTTTAAACAATTTTGTAATCATAAAACATTTCGAAAAAAAATCATTGATTTTTAAAGTCAATGCATGTATAGGTACCAGAAAACCAATATCTAAAATGTACTGAATAAACTATTTCAGATTTATTTATTTTCCACCGAAAAAAAAAAAAACATCCTCATAGAAGCTTCAATCCAATATATTTGATATCCAAATTCCAAGTGCATAATTTTTTTCTAGCTATAGGGGGAACAACCGCATGACCAGAGGGGAATCCCTGAAACTTAAATTTCAACGCAAGCCAACTGGCGCAAAAAACAGGTAAAATGTGTTTTAGTTCAAACTACAAGGTCTTAGTGGCCTTAATTTGCATTGTTTCGATGTTGAAAAATACGTGCCAAGGTGCTGACGAGTATCTCGAAGCAAGATGTAAATTGTTACGCGACGATGAAGGTGAATTTAGAGGGTCCAAGTTGAATTTAAGCGAAAGCGAAGGGAAAGTTAACGAGTATTTAGTGAGTTTGAAGCTAAAAGAACTGGAGGAGTCTTATGGGAATTTTAGTGCTTATTTGCCTGAAAGGAACTTTTTGGATGCTAAGGAGGATATTGAACAGTCAAAGGTAACATCTTTAATTAAAGCTGGGGGTATACAGAAATTAACAAAAATTAGTTTTTATAGGTGTTCCAATTTATTCAAAAAATCCCTAAAGGCACCTCCTTGCACACCCATCTACTTGCTGCAGTCAACGTAGACTACATCATCCAGAACTTCACTTATATGGAAAACCTATACGGTTGCACCAACTTCTTCAACATATTTAAATTAAAATTTTTGGAAAACTCTAAGCAAGATTTAAATTGTTCCTGGAAAAGTTTAAAGACGTACAGGCAAGAAAATCCAAATTTTGATGCTTTTCTCAAGAATTGTTTAGCTTTGGGCAAAGAAGCCGTGAATCAAACTCGGAATGAGGTTTGGAGTGAGTTCAAAAACACATTTTCCAGCTTGTACGATTTTGCTTCTCACAGGCCGGTATTTAAGCTGTATGTTAAGCAACTTTTAGAGGAATTGTGGGTGGATAAAGTAATCTATACTGAATTAAGAGGTACCAAATAGAATTTCAATCAATTATAATTTTCTCAAAAAATTGTTTCAGGAACATTTATGCCTCTTTATGATTTAAATGGAACAACTTATAATACGAAAATGTTTCTGGATACTCTTATAGAAGCTGTGGATGATTTTAAAACATCTCATCCTGATTTTTTGGGTATCAAATACATTCTAAATTTGTACAGAGGAGTGGATAATAATACTTTGAAATCAACATTGGAAGAATTGATTTATTATAAGAGTTTGTATCCAGATTTAATTGCAGGTAAGAATTCTTGATTTTACCAGTTATCGAACAAATTCTTGACTATTTTTTCCAGGTTTTGATTTTATCGGTTTGGAAGAAGAGGGTAAAAACTTGGTAGATTTTCACGAGGAACTTTTGAAGGTGTCAAAAGATTTGCAGTTTTTCTTTCACGCAGGCGAGACCAATCAGTTTGGCCATACTGACTTGAATTTGGCCGACGCTATTTTGCTAAACGCTACGAGAATTGGTCACGGATTCGCTTTGGTCAAACATCCACAACTATTGGAAGAAGCTGGAAAACGTGACATTGCTGTGGAGTTGTGTCCGATATCCAATCAAGTGTTGAAAGTGAGTAGGTAATTGTGGTTTTTTGAATGTTGATTGTTCTTCAAAGGGCCATATCTTGGAAACCAAAAAAGCTATCGGTAAAAAATTTCATCCAATCATAGATCTTGATTGGGGCTTCAAAAAAGGTTATTTGGGGCACCGAGTCCTAGGGCTTCGTTTCCGAGATAATCGACCTTAAAGGTTTTCCAAATTTTAAGACAAAGTTTCAACTTTGAGGCTCAATATCTCGAAAACTATTTGAGATAAATTATTCAACTTTGTTTTATCTTAAAGAGCATTTAATTCTGATTAAGAATATATAGATATGTATTAGAATTTGTGAAATATTAATTGAGTGATGGGCGATTTTGTAAGGCAATATCGGATTATCAAAATTGTTAGGAGCAAAAAATTAAAAAATTATTATAATTTTTTTACTAGCCCTAAAACCTCGAAATGAAAAATTACGAAAATGCTTTTCCACTAAATTTGACCCCCTCTTTCTATTGGTAAAGTCAAAAATTTGAAAATTTAGAAAAATCAAAATTGAAATTTTTCCAAGGGGTTTGTAAGGAAATTTAATGTTCAAATATTTCAAAAAGCCATATTTTGGAAACCGGGAAAGCTATCGGTACAAAATTTCATCCAATCATAGATCTTGATAAGGGCTTCAAAAAAGGTTATTTGTGGCACCGAGCCCTAGGGCTTCGTTTCCGAGATAATCGGCCTTGAAGGTTTTCGAAACTTTAAGACAAAGTTTCAACTTTGAGGCTCAATATCTCGAAAACTATTTGAGATAAATTATTCAACTTTGTTTTATCTCAAAGAGCATTTAACTCTGATTAAGAATACATAAATATGCATTAGAATTTGTGAAATATTAATTGAGTGCTGAGCGATTTTGTAAGGCAATGTCGGATTATCAAAATTGTTAGGAGCAAAAAATGCAAAAATCATTATTATTTTTTTTACTGGCCCTAAAACCTCGAAAAGAAAAATTACAAAAATGATTTTCCACTAAATTTGACCCCCTCTTTCTATTGGTAAAGTCAAAAATTTGAAAATTTAGAAAAATCAAAATTGAAATTTTTCCAAGGGGTTTGTAAGGAAATTTAATGTTCAAATATTTCAAAAAGCCATATTTTGGAAACCGGGAAAGCCATCGGTATAAAATTTCATCCAATCATAGATCTTGATAAGGGCTTCAAAAAAGGTTATTTGGGGCACGGAGCCCTAGGGCTTCGTTTCCGAGATAATCGGCCTTGAAGGTTTTCGAAAGTTTAAGACAAAGTTTCAACTTTGAGGCTCAATATCTCGAAAACTATTTGAGATAAATTATTCAACTTTGTTTTATCTTAAAGAGCATTTAATTCTGATTAAGAATATATAGATATGTATTAGAATTTGTGAAATATTAATTGAGTGATGGGCGATTTTGTAAGGCAATATCGGATTATCAAAATTGTTAGGAGCAAAAAATTAAAAAATTATTATAATTTTTTTACTAGCCCTAAAACCTCGAAATGAAAAATTACGAAAATGCTTTTCCACTAAATTTGACCCCCTCTTTCTATTGGTAAAGTCAAAAATTTGAAAATTTAGAAAAATCAAAATTGAAATTTTTCCAAGGGGTTTGTAAGGAAATTTAATGTAAAAATATTTCAAAAAGCCATATTTTGGAAACCGGGAAAGCCATCGGTACAAAATTTCATCCAATCATAGATCTTGATAAGGGCTTCAAAAAAGGTTATTTGGGGCACGGAGCCCTAGGGCTTCGTTTCCGAGATAATCGGCCTTGAAGGTTTTCGAAACTTTAAGACAAAGTTTCAACTTTGAGGCTCAATATCTCGAAAACTATTTGAGATAAATGATTCAATTTTGTTTTATCTCAAAGAGCATTTAACTCTGATTAAGAATACATAAATATGCATTAGAATTTGTGAAATATTAATTGAGTGCTGAGCGATTTTGTAAGGCAATGTCGGATTATCAAAATTGTTAGGAGCAAAAAATGCAAAAATCATTATTATTTTTTTTACTGGCCCTAAAACCTCGAAAAGAAAAATTACAAAAATGATTTTCCACTAAATTTGACCCCCTCTTTCTATTGGTAAAGTCAAAAATTTGAAAATTTAGAAAAATCAAAATTGAAATTTTTCCAAGGGGTTTGTAAGGAAATTTAATGTAAAAATATTTTAAAAAGCCATATTTTGGAAACCGGGAAAGCTATCGGTACAAAATTTCATCCAATCATAGATCTTGATAAGGGCTTCAAAAAAGGTTATTTGTGGCACCGAGCCCTAGGGCTTCGTTTCCGAGATAATCGGCCTTGAAGGTTTTCGAAACTTTAAGACAAAGTTTCAAATTTGAGGCTCAATATCTCGAAAACTATTTGAGATAAATTATTCAACTTTGTTTTATCTTAAAGAGCATTTAATTCTGATTAAGAATATATAGATATGTATTAGAATTTGTGAAATATTAATTGAGTGATGGGCGATTTTGTAAGGCAATGTCGGATTATCAAAATTGTTAGGAGCAAAAAATCCAAAAATCATTTTTATTTTTTTAGTGGCTCTAAAACCTCGAAAAGAAAAATCACGAAAATGCTTCTCCACTAAATTTGACCCTCTCTTTCGATTGGTATAGTCAAAAATTGGGAAAAATCAAAATTGAAATTTTTCCAGAGGTGCTTATGCAGGGAAATTTTATTTTCAAATTCTTCAAAGGGCCATATTTTGGAAACCAGCAAACCTATCGGCACAAAACCTATACTATAGATTACACAGTGTGGTTTTCGTCCAGGAATATGTTAATGAAAAGTCGGTTTTCGGCTTATTTGGACTTTATTTAATGAAATGAATGAAATTTAGATATTTCATTAAATAAAGTCCAAATAAGCCGAAAACCGACTTTTCACTATACTATAGAGTGCACTCAAGCCGATATAAGCTTTTTCTGAGATACAATTTTCATCCATGCATAAAACTAATAAAGCCTTTCAAGAATCTAAAATGTCTCAAGTTCCTTTCTGAAGAATTTCAAATATTCAAGAGCTGGAATCAGAAATATGTATCGAGAAGTATTCTCATAAAACTTCCTTGTTAACGCTGATTTTTCTACTAATTCCTACATTGAAATTCCAGTTGAACAAAGACCCTAGAAACCATCCAGCAACAATTCTCCTAGCAAAAGGCCATCCAGTAGTAATTTGCAACGACGACCCTTCAGTTTGGGGCGCCACCGGATTAAGTTACGACTGGTACGTCACGTTCATGTCGATGACGTGGCAAAATCACGGCCTCAAAATCCTGAAACAATTCGCCATCGATTCGATCACATACAGTGCAATGAGCGAAACTGAAAAAATCGAGGCTTTTGAAGTTTGGACTAGGATGTGGGACGAGTTTATCGAGGAGGTGATATGTAGAAATAAATTGTGATAATCCTATGGTTTAATTAATCAAGAATTATTCAATAAGATCCTAATCTATCAAGCTCTGTGCAGTATTTGATTGATTACAATATTGAAGATGCTATAATAAGCCATATTACATTTATAAATGTGAAATAATAATTCATTCACAATGAAAATGTTGGTTTTTTCAATATAGAATAAAATGGTAGCTTTCTCTAAAGGGTTGGTTGCCCTGACTTAAAGAAAAACATGGTTCAAGAAAATATATTTGAATTTATTATACAAATTATAATACATAATCAGTTCATGGTCTGATTCCTGGATCGTCAGGATCGATGCACCCGACAGGTTCTGGGAAGCACATACTGTCCATAATTCTCATGAAATTCAAAGTTGATTTCCTTAAGCGAATAGCTTCTTGATTGTCAACAAAATAATTGAAAATTTGTACTGCTAGCTCACCATTTTCAGAAGACTTAAACAAAATTTTGTAATTTTTGTGTGTAATATTTAAAGAATTAACTTACTTCATTTTGGTGTAAATGCTCTATTGTATATCCAAGCATTAAATTGGTTTTAATAAAGTCAGTTCGTTCTATAATACAATTTAACATCATTTAAGTATTATATATGGATTCAAAATTTACCTGTTTTTGGAACTGTAGTCATAATTTCCTTCAACTGCTCAGTAGTGAGGGCCTGAATAGGAGCACCAGGTGCAATTTGGATGCACAAAAACGTTAAAATAAAAATTTGTATTTGCCTCATCGTAACTCAAGAAATAACAAGTAAATGCAAGACCAAACAAATATATTCATATTGTATCAGCTTTTCTAGTAGCGATTAAAATTTAATCTTAATCTTTTAGGGATTAGTTGGATTTGCAATTTTGTTTGCTTGACGATATAAAAATAAGAAAAAAATTGTTTATAATAACAAAACACTTCTGAATTTCAACAGGGCGCCTTGCCTAAAATACCAATTCTTGATTGAATGTTTATAAATAGGTGAGGATTGATTAATTGAGCGTTTTTTCCATATTACGATATTGATTTCTATCAAATTTTGAAGATTTATTGATTTTATTAAATTGTGAATTAAGGATTACAATCCCATAACGATTATTTATAATTTTTGTTGGGGAAAAGTTTGGGTTTTTCCTTACTTTTAATTGTATAACGGCCTGAATCTTGAATTTGAAACATCAAACCTCAGAACTTGACTTTACTATACTGAAAAATTTAGCTGTATATATGACTGCAACTTCTTTATTATGAAGTAGTTAGAGGTAAATTATGACTCTTTAATGAAGATGTGTTACGATTGAAATTGTCAAAGTACCTTGAGCCTATTTTAATTCCATTAAGAGCTTAAGATAACTTTATCCTGCATTATTAGTTAAGTCATCCTGACTTTCTTAATAATATACCTGCATTTTCTATTGATACTAAAGATTTAGCATGTATTACTGATCGTTGTGCCTACAGAAATTTTAATCAAGAATAACAAGGACTTTCCAAATAAGCATCCCAGGAGAGATCATCACTCAGACAGCACAACCAGAAAATTTAATTAAAATTTATCTGATCATCGATATCCAGAAATTATTGAAAGCCGATACCCTTCCTCTCAAGAATGACCAGCCAATCGGAATTAAACAAAATAATTGACTAATAATGAATGTGAATAAAGCAAAAGAGCCTAATGATGATACCCACTTAACGACGCCCTTGATAATTAATTAAAAGGAGACCAAATACACTAATTGAGTGGATGATTCAACCACATAAAATCGAGGTAAGAGAAAACGATAAAACAAAGAAATTCAAGACAATGGGGGAACCAATGATATGAAAAGACGACTTTGGCAGGAGAAAAGCAGAGTTCGGGAAAGAGCGAGTGAACGGGAAGAGCTACGTCTGTAAACCAGTGTTTGGTTGAGTAATCAAGAAACAAGTAGTAATCGAGAGACCTGTGTCCAAAAAGTCAGAACTACGGCAGAAATTAAGTCAGTAAACGAGAAGCAGTACCTACCGTGAAAGAGTTGAACTAACCGAGAGAAGAAGCACGACGTGAAATAACGGAGCAGCATTATTAAATGTTCATAAAAAAAGTAAATTCTTTCGACCAATAAGAATTCTAGGTAATTAGGTGTGGTAAATATAAATATATTATTGTTAAATGTAAGTAGAGTTTTTATGTTCAGCCAGAAATTGTGCAGGCAAGAGCTATAGAGTCTAGTCAAACTGTAAATTAAAATTTTAGTAATTTGTTGCATACAACGGCGAACTTTTACGCTTATCTATAATAAAAACATTTCAGTAGGGGAAAATCACAATATTTCTGTTTTTTACTCTCCATACCCACATTAATCTGTGTCTCCACTCAGAAACTAAAGTCACCGCTCGCCATTTTAACATCTTACACTTACCAAGTTTCTGAATTTCGGGGTCTCACAAAGCAAATGATTTCACAAAAGAAGGGGCCTCAACACTATATCATGGACCAGAGCCCTACTGTCGCTTAATGAAAAGCCACATCATGGAAGAACTCAACAAATGGGAAAAAGACCAACTGTCATCATATTGGAGGCACACTCCGGGATTCAGAAAGTCAAAAAGGTTTATTACCCTTTCAGCAAAAAAAGCTGAACAGCTCCTAAACATGAGCAGACCGGACATTAGATTGGTGGTAGGACTGCTCATACTACACTGCCTGGTAAAATACCATTTAAGGTTAATAGGCAGATCAGAAGATTCTGCTCAGACGCAATAGAGACCGCAGAGCACCTACTCTGCGAATGTCCAGCCCAATTCTGCAAGAGGCTCAAATTCCTCGAGAGGGTAACACTGTCACCAGAAGAAGTGGGCCAACTGACACCTAGGAAAATAACTTCCTCCGACAGAAGTCTACGCTTTCTGGAAACAATTTAAGATGTAGAGTCACGTACAAAATATTTACAAAGGTAGCAGTGATGAGTGGCTGAAAAGCCGAAGCGACTCCCCCACAATCTACAATCTCTAACCCATGGCAACTTTGACAGTGAAAATCTTGAGAACTAATTTAATTCTCAACAAAAATACGCAATTGTGACGGAAATCAAAATATCTTTAAAACAAGTTATCACTCGGACCATCTTCCTTATCTAAAAAAGGGCAGTGAAAGTCACCCCACCCAGGAAGTGCACTCTAGCGAAATACCGATGGGGTGAAAAAGTTTTCCCCTTGAATACAAAAATGACGCGTCCGAGCGATTTTTTTTTTTAAATCGACCTTAAAATGCCTTAGAACGCCTCTGTTTCGATGTTCGTGAAACACCCTGTATATTTATTTATGATTATTTGAACTACTAAAATTCAATAAAATGATGAAAAGCAAGCAAATATTACACTAACATAAGTACTGACTGACAATGGGATTTCCCTTCCCAGACGAGAATAGTGAGAATACACTCTTTTTAGATTCAGCCAACGGTCTGCATCATATTGAAATGCATGTATGTGAGAAACTATCAATTAAAATAATAGTTCTGGGATTTTAATACTTCGTAGATGATCTGCAACACTGTGCCGAACAAGTAACCGGGAAATTTAAATTTGAACTTTTCAATTTTATTATCAAGTATCGCAAATTAACAACAATAGTTAAACAAAGAGCTTGGCATATTATTGATTCATTGAGTTTGGGTCATGCAATTATTATGAACTAATGACCTTATCTGCTTTTTGATAATATACTCAACATATTATGCAATGTTCAAAATGAAAGAGTAAGTTCTCAATTAAATTAAGCTAAATACAAATTTAAATTATTCATTTCTAGACTAACTTCTATTAAAATTAACATAAGTGGCACAGAATACAATGGTAAGTAGCTATAAATTAAAAGAAACGCACTAATAATCTCCTTTATATAGTTAAAACTGATGATGTTACTCCGGAAACCACCTTAAACACATACTTAAGAGAAAAACTGCATCTAACAGGCACAAAACGTATGTGCTCGGAAGGAGGTTGTGGTACTTGCGTTGTAGCTGTAGAAGAAATTAAACCTAGCGGAGAAAAACACGTATTCGCAATCAACTCTGTAAGCAATTCATCCCAAAATATATATTCAAAAATAAACCCTTATTATCATAGTGTCTTGTTTCAATTTTGTCTTGTCACGGTTGGAAAATCTATACAGTGGAAGGCATTGGAAATCCATTAAAAGGCTATCACGAAATCCAAAAAGTACTAGCTGATAATAATGGTAGTCAGTGCGGGTAAATAATAATGTTCAACATTATTTAATAATCAATAATTGATGTTGATGATTTTAGGTTTTGCTCTCCTGGAATGGTAATGAACATGTACGCACTGCAACAATCGTTTCGGTCCAAAACCAAAAGCCAAATTGAAAATTCTTTTGGAGGCAATATTTGTAGGTGCACCGGATACAGACCAATCATGAAAGCTTTTTATAATTTGGTTGTTGATATTGAAGATATTGATAGGGTTTATGAAAAATGTCCTAATAAAAACAAAGTTGAGAGTTATTGTTTGAAGCTTGGAAAAGCTAATTGGCTAAAAGTCTACTACATCAGTGACTTGTTGGAGATTTTTAGGACTTCCAAGGATTTTGATTATGTGCTAGTGGCTGGGAATACTGCTCAAGGCAATAGGGATTTAGTATTTTTGCTTAAAATGGTTTATTATTATTTTTTTTATATAGGGGTGGTATGGAGGACAAGTTTCCCACAGACCTACATAGACATAACCAGTGTAGATCAACTTTTAGGTCATACTTTGTCTGACAATTCTCTTACTTTGGGCGCCAACGTAACGCTAACTGATGCAATAGATATTTTTGAGGAGGCAGCTAAAAAATATCCAAGTTTTAGCTATTTGAGTCGAGCCGCTGATCATATTGACTTAGTCGCAAATGTACCAGTAAGAAATGTAAGAATGTGATGTAAATAATTTAATAATTACAGTATGAAAGAATAAATACTCTCCATACTTTCAATTTTATTCCAGATTGGCACCCTTGCAGGTAATTTAATGCTCAAGCATAAACACCCGAGATTCCAGTCAGATATTTTCCTGATTCTGGAAACTATTAAGGCAACTTTAATTATTGGTAAGCTTGCAATATTGATTCTAGAAACTCAAATCAAATATTCTAATATTGTGCAGTCGATGAAATTGACGATGAATTCAGAAAAAGCCCGAGCGAATTCCTAGACCTCGACATGAACAAAAAAATCATCAGAGAAATCGTCCTTAGAGGTTTCGATCCGGCAACGTATCAATTTCAAACATACAAGGCATCAATCTCCATTTAAAGCCCTTAAAACATTAATAACAGTTTACTTGTAGATAATGAAACGTTCTCAAAACGCTCATGCAACAGTAAACGCAGGTTTCCTTTTGAAACTTAGCCCAGAGGGCATTGTGAGCTCAGCTAATATAGTTTACGGGGCCATTAACACTAAATTTGTGCACGCTTCAAAAACAGAAGATTCACTCATAAATCAAAACCTATTTGATAATGGCACATTACAAAAAGCATTTGCTTCATTAAGCCTGGAAATCGTGCCTGATAATGAACCAGCTGAAGCTTCGCCTGAAGCCAGGAAACAATTAGCGATTAATTTATTTTATAAAGTACATAATTATGTGTATTAATTACTATGTATGGGTGTTCGAATTTGAGTTTCTAGTTTGTGCTGAGCATTGCGCCATCAAATAAACTCTCGCCAAGAAACCAAAGCGGCGGGTCAATGTTATCCAGACCATTAGCCAGTGGGATCCAGGAATATGGTACCAATGAGGCCATGTACCCTGTGACTCAGCCTGTTGTCAAGCTTGAGGCTTTAGCTCAAACTTCTGGTAAATATTTTTCGCCTTATTGCAGTCAAATATTGTCAATACAATTATTGTAGGACAAACACAGTACATTGTGGACAAACCAGATTTGCCCAATCAACTTCACGCGTGTTTCGTTACGGCAGAATCCACGCCGGGTTCGATAATAAAATCCATAGAAAAATCCGAAGCGGTTGCAGTGGAAGGTGTAGCAGGCTTTTACGACTTCAAAGATATTCCCGGAGTCAATTCAATTACGGCGTTAAGTTTTCAGTTGCCCGCTGAGGAGTTTCTTTGCAGCGGTACCGTGCAGTATTTTTCGCAGCCGGTTGCAGTTATAGTTGCTAGCAGTCATGAAATTGCTTATAAAGCTTCAAAATTGGTCAAAATCGATTACGAGTTGCCTACTGTGAAGCCCTCACTGACACCCAAAGATTTGTTAGAAGCTAAAAGGAATGATAGGATTATACATCAGGGAACTGTAGTACCAAAAAAGACTAGTAATAGGATTGTTGGTGGTAATAATTGATTTTGATTATTTTTTTGTAGAAAAAGGTACAAAAATTATCGAGGGTGAATTTTACTCTGGCGCGCAGTACCATTTTCATATGGAAACTCATTGCAGCTACACCGTGCCTACTGAAGATGGTTTGGAAATTTGGGCTTCCACTCAGTGGTTGGCCCATACTCAATTTGTGATGTCGCAAATTCTCAATTTAGATGCACAAAAGCAAGTAGAATTTTTGTTTTAATAGTAGGAAATCATTGGAATTTCTACGATTTTGAATTTAGCTATGCCAGCAGCTCCCCCACCATAAGTTCCCAAAGCAGACAGTCCAGCAAATAATAGAATGAGGGGTAAAATACAGGGAAAGTTGTTTTTTTTTCTTGCAAGTTGACTCCTACCACTACGTAACTTGTAAAAGGGCATTTTGTAGTACTCGAAATGGTATCAATATCTCGTTACTATTTTCGGTTTTAGAGTCTCCAAAATACCATAAGAATTCAGCTTGTGAAACTAAGGACCAGTTTATCATTGGATGATTATCTAGTTTAGCTGTCGGTTAACTAATGATATTTATTGGTTGGTTGGTTGATTGAGATGTAGAGTGAACAAGCCAGGTTATATGGCCCCAACACTGCAGCCTTCGGCTTATTGTATTGTCCTGTTCTTCTGTTTAGTCAGTGAAAAGTTTCGTGACCTTGATTAGATTTAGAAGCTTCTTCACTGTGTTACTTTTGGTGAGTTTAAGGCCCTATCTGTCTGTATCTCTACCAACCAGGGTAAAACCTCACATTCGAAGATTATGTGGGTGACGGTTTCATCCTCCTAATCACCAAGTCTGCATATGGGTACTTCTTGTATGAAGGTGTTTTCTCAGGCTAATGTGTCTAGTTATTAGCCTGATTTGATTCTTGTTTAATTATAAGATCTCTTCAGTAAGTTTAGGTGATGGTTGTACCCTAAGGTTGTACCATTAGCTTACTATGTGTCTGAACTTCGGAATAGTTTGCCAGTAGGTTTGGTGTTGTCTATACACCCATTGGTTTATTTTTGTTCTTACCGAAGATTTTGTGGTGTCAATTGCCGGTTCAGGGTTAGTATAACTGGTTGCTGATCCTTCTCTTGCCAGAGCATCTGCTTTCTCATTTCCTTCAATTTCTTTATGCTCTGGCACCTATTCAAGGGTTACCTTTTTGGCCATACTTAGGTTTTTGAGGTTTTCCAAGCATTCCTAGACAAGTTTGGATTTTATTTCAAAGCTGTTAAATGTTTTGATCGACGCTTGACTGTCTGAGCAGATAATGATGTTTTTACCTGTGTATCCCCTCCTTAGGTTTTCGCTCCTCTCAGATAGGAGTCTCTAGAGGTTGACTCATGTCTCATCTGGAAGTTTGTCCATATATTCCAGCGCCGGTTCCAGTGTCCGTTTTGTAGAAAACCAGACAATTTCTTGTTTAGGTATTGTCCCGGTATTTCTTACTGGGATAATCTCGATAGCGGAGGGTTTTTCGAGGAACTTTTTCGGCATCATATAGTCGCTACTCATGGTTAAAATCTTGTTTGTGATTATTTTGGTGATCGAATCAGCACTTCGCGTCTCAGTACCTCATTCAGCCTTGTACTGATGATGACGAAACTGTCAAAACTTATAATAAAGTCCGCCTCGTGCTTATTCTATTTGCAGATGTTAGTTGCACGAGGCGGAAGCCAACCTTTAGGTTATGTAAATGGGGCCTGAAGAACAAAGCGCCAGATATTAGGGCGCTTTTCAATTTACCAGATTACCTTTTGGGTTGCACAACGCTCCTATAACATTTCAGCGTCTTATCGATACAATTTAAGGCTAGAACTGTCTCTAGATCTGTATAGCTGTATAGAAGTCACGAGGTGCTATATATGTATTCGATTAGCCACTTGGAGCCAGGTACTGTCAATGACCCTGAAGCAGCGGCAGCTGACCAGTTAGTGTGACCGATCAAAGACACGGGCACTGGAAAGGGGGCGGGGCTTATGGCGGCTGGAACTAGACGGATGACCTTGAACGGTACAAAAATTGGAGATGTCTCTGGATTTTGGCTAGCTCCAGGTTTGCTTCTCTTTGGTTTACTTTAGGCCACCATACAAGTGCACCATATGTTATCATTGGTCTTATAACCGTAGTGTATATTCAAGTATTCAGTGTAGAACTGACGGTTTTAGTCCCCATGTTTTCCCAGTCACCCTTTTTAATGTCATCAACGTCATCTTGCTTTTGGTGGGTTATCTTTTGGATGTGTTGGTTCTATGTCAGCTTCATATATATCTAGGATGACGCCTAGAAATTTAGCTTCCCTGCTAAACTCCAAGGTTTTTTGGAATAGACTGGGGGCGATTGAGTCCTTCATCATTTCTTTTTCTTGTGAAAGGAATGAGTTTTCTTATGGAGGGGTTGACGCAAAGTTGCTCCTTCGTGCACCATTCCTCAATGATTCCTAAGGCGTCCTGCATCATGAAGTTTGATACCGTCCTGGTAAATCCTCCCCTAATGACAACTGTCATCCGCGTAGCTTTTGATCGTTTAGTTTCCTCAGAATAGTTCATCCACGACTAGATTCTACAAGAGTCATGGATAATTATTAGTTAAGTGACAAACCAGTCCTTACCCCTTCACAGAAAGCATAATTCCGTTTTCACTATCACTCCTACTCTAAGCGATTTAATGGGAAAACTTAAATACCTATTTCAGAATTGACGTCACAGTAAAACGCCTGGGTGGAGCTTACGGAGCGAAAATCATTAGAAGTAACTATGTAGCTGCAGCTACAGCTCTTGCAGCCCACAAACTACGAAAACCTGTAAGGATGTGGCTGCCTTTTCACACTAATATGAGCATGTTGGGTTAGTTCCAATAAGCCCAAATCGATTTACTTAATCCAATGGTAACTTGTAGGCAAAAGACATCCCCTTTACACCACCTATAAAGTAGAAATCGACGATAAAGGCGTAATACAAAACATGAAATCCTCTCTTTATTCTGATTACGGAGTCGGAATGGGTGGCGACAACATTAATCATTTTCTCATGGATTGTTTCGAAAACGGTTATAAATTCGATACTTGGACTTATGATACTTACATTGCTAGGACTGATACGAATCCTAATACTTATACTAGAGCTCCAGGAACTCTTGAAGGTTTGGCTTGCATTGAAAGCATCATGGAAGAAATCGCCTATACCCTAAACTTAGACCCTTTAGATGTAAAAATTGCCAACTTAGACACCAAAAAATACCCAAAAATCTTGCAATATATCAACGACATGAAAAAAAACGACAAACTCAACGAACGAATGGCTGAAGTTAAAGCCTACAATAAAGTAAAATCCATTTCCCAACATATAACATATATCTTTTAATAAAATTCTTAAATGTATAGGCTAACCGTTGGAAAAAGAAAGGCCTTGCTGTAGCCACAATGAAATGGACATTGAGTTTGCAAGGCTCCTACACCACTCTAGTGTCAATTTTCTATCAAAACGGTGGCGTAGCCATAAGCCACGGAGGTGTGGAAATGGGACAAGGAATCAACACAAAAGTGGCCCAAGTTTGCGCTCAAAAACTTGGCATTCCAATGGAGCTTATTTCTATTAAGCCCAGCATCACTTACGCTTCACCCAATAGCTTTGCTTGTGGCGGTAGTTGGACTTCTGAAGCTATTTGCTATGTGAGAATTGGATTTTTGTAGATAAGGTTTAATTGATTTTAATAATTTGTAGTCAGTTATAGTTGCTTGCGATAGGCTTTTAAAGCGAATGGATCCGGTTAAAAAGCAAAATCCACAAGCTCCCTGGGATGTTTTAGTAAAACTTGCATTTCTTGCCAATATAAATTTAAGTGCCCATGGATTGTAAGTTTATAATCAATATACTATAGCATTTATTATAATGTTAAATTTTTAGTGTTTACAATGACAAAAAATCTATCCAAGACTATCCAATATTCGGAGTGTGTGCTGCAGAAGTTGAAGTTGACATTCTCACTGGTCAAAAACTGATATCAAGAGTTGATATTATCGAAGATGTAGGTGAAAGTATCAGTCCGCTGGTTGATATTGGCCAAGTGGAAGGTGCCTTTGTTATGGGCATCGGTTATTATTTGCACGAGCAACTATTTTTTAGCGAAAATGGCGAATTGCTCAATAATAGGACTTGGAATTATGCCCCGCCTGGTGTCAAAGACATTCCCGTGGATTTTCGGATTAGGTTTCCAACAAATAATCCTAATCCAGTGGGAGTCTTAAAATCAAAAGGTAATTTTTGAGTTTTTATGTGTTTTAATTATTATTGAAGTTGTTTTATTTTAGCTACAGCCGAGCCTCCGATGTGTCTATCAGTTGCTGTACCGTTAGCTGTAAGAAATGCTCTTGCTTCGGCTAGAGAGGACGCCGACAGTTCTAAACCCAAATGGGTTCCATTTAGTAATAAATGTTTCACTCAGTTTCTAGATTTGAATAATTCCTTATTTTTAGATGGACCTACTACCCTGGAACATACACTTTTGAATAATCTCAATGACTACACGCAATACACTTTGTGAAATTTGGAACTAATATGCAATGAATACAAAATGATACTTATGAAAAGTACCTAATCTATTTTATTGTTCAATAATCAATACAATTTGAAATAAACTACTAGGTTTCATGAGTTTCTATAGTGAATAATAAAAAATTGGCAGAAAAATCCCCCTATTGTATATAAAGTGAAATTAAGATATACATTATATGTTAGCAGGAAGCTCGTTGGGCATGATATGGTTTCTTTAATACCCTCATTTGCTCATAAATTTCACTATTTTGAAATTCGCACAGTGCCCGGAAAGCTCAGAAACAATTTTAGGAGACTAAACAATCCTCATTTTGAAGACTTCTAAGGATATTTTCCATTATCTGTTGGAAAATTGAGGGTGCATTTTTTAGGCCAAAAGGTGTCGTTCGTTTATATTTGTAATGAACGTTGAAAAATCGGTTTTTCAAGAAGCCTATTAATAGTTGAAACTGATTTTTGTAGAATTTATGGCGTGCAAAAATTATATAATATCAGATGACAATTATTCAAAAACTGTACATGGGATTAGATTCATACTAACAGGGAAGGTTGAGAGGGTTGTCAGGTAACAGGGTGATACCAGTGGCATACACTCGATTACGAATGGAAATTTTATACGAAAATATAGAAAATTTTGTTCCCGCCCATTACCCGCGGGTTTCCTTAACACAAATTTTATGATTATTCAAAAACTGTACGGGGTGTTGTTTTATATATTGACACCCCACCTACAGCCTTTACCCTAATAGGTAGAAAGAAAGGTGTGTGAATACAAAAATTGTACAGTTTTGGGTAAATTTTTAGAATCCATCGTCAGAAACAAAAATTGAATGTCAGAAATGTGAATGTGCATGCTTTCAACTTTTTGCAAATGGGATGCTCTATATTTGGTTATATTTTCTTGAAGAGCACAATTTCCCGATTCCAAAAATATATAGTTTGTCTATATTTGGTTTGAGCTATCTTCAACTTATTTGGTTCTAAAAAATTTAAAAATACTATCAGAGATATCCATTGGAAATACCAAGTAAGTACGCATACATACCTTAAACTTTACTTGCAGATTTCACCTGTATTAGGGTTTCCATAAAGGTTTTTCAGAATTCAGGACAAAGGAGTCAAGAAATCCGGACAAAATCCGGACGGAGCTATTTATGCAACAAGTGTGTAAAGTGAAAGGCGAGTGCGACAAAATTCACATTCGTGAAAAAAGGTTCATATACAAAGTTTGCATACATAAAAAAAATTCTACTACCAATAAAATATGTGTAGAAAACTAGATTTATGGCTGTTTGCACCGATCATTTTAACGAAGCCTTAGCGATAAGTATTCCTTAAAATGACTTTTTTACATGGAGAAATGTCACTTAAAGGAATACTTATCGCTAAAACTCCCTTAAAATAGTCGGTAAAAACTGCCATTAGACAAATACTTAACGCACTAGTGCCTAATTTATTCCTCATTACTTCACATACTAGTGTGTAATAGTTATTTACATTACAAGTGCGTTTATGAACATGATTACAATAACGAGTGTGAAAGATTAGAACGACGAGGTCGTAGACCGAGTCGTTCTAATCACACGAGTTTTGTAGTCATGTTGAAACGCATGTGTGATGTACAACGTTTCATCTACAAAGCGAAAACTAAGAGTGTTTTTTCAATAATTTTCATTTATTAGTCGTTATCTACCTTCATTTTACCTTTACATTTGTCAAGTCACCAAAAATAGTTGTGTTATAATAACCTAGTCCATAACACCACTAGTTGTGTTATGAATTTATAACCTTGTTCACAACACCACTGTTCTGTTATGAGTCTCATGACATACTTAACTAAAATACTAGAAAAATGTTTATGTAAAAACGTCATAACCAAACGCTTGTAGATAAAGTGAAGTAAAATTTTACGTCTTTTGAATAGTATGCGTAAACTGAGTATGAGTGTTTTCACGATCTCCGAATTTTCCGGACATTGTTCCGAATTCCGGCCGGACTTCCCCAGACACCCTAAAACCCAAACATGTCCGGGCAAATCCGGACGTATGGAAACCGTAACCTGTATAGGTATAGACTAAATCACGATAGAAAGTGAAGTTGACAGTTCGCGTTGACATTTTTAGTAAACTTTTTCTTTAGGTTGTCAGCATGTGTTAGCGCTTCGATTCCGTCAGCTGGGATAAACGACAGGGTCGTATTTAGAAAAGTGATATACATTTCAGAATAAAAATTTATTTTCAATTTCTTTAAAGGAAGTTAAGTTATTAAAATCCAAAAATCCTAAAATTAGAGTCCAAAGTAAACACTTATAATAAGAGTAAACACTTAAATCCAAACTAAAGCCAGGTTTGAAACGCAACACCGAAACACAAAGGCACAGAACACTACATAAAAAACCAAAAAACCGATTGCGATAATAACAAATAAAAAAAATAATGCAGTAAACGGCAAAAAACTGAAAGATTTCACACAAAAATTCGAAATTCAAAATTCAAAGACCCGAATCTGTTATTTTTATGTGTCAAATCAAAATGTCATGTATCATTATTTGATAGTTGTCAGAAAAAGGGACAGATGTGGGCTGCGTTCAAAAACGGCTAAAGCCAAGCCAAAATTGGCATATTGCGTTCAAGTTCGGCTCCAGCGTGCCAAAAACGGTTGGCTTTACACGTTCCAAATCGGCCGCGGTAAAGTAACTTTTGGAGGCTCTTTCAACTGAGTCTAGAAATGGTTATACGAATTTTGATTGGATGAGACCAAATTCAATATGGCGTGGCGGCCAGCAAGTTAGTTTCGAATATGTGTTTTCATGCATATTTCAATTATTTTGCTTCGAGTTTTGCTTGCAGCTTTGATTTTGATTATTCATTATTCAACAAAATATTTGTAGGTACGTAAACTATTGAGTTGGGCAGAAACTAGATATTTTTTTGTGTGTTTTCGTCCATGTGTGGACGCCACGCCATCTTGAATGTCACGTGGTTTGGATTGCCTAATTGAGAAACGGTATTTAGCGTTCCAGCAAATTCACACCAGATTTGGCATTGCCGGTAGAAGGGGAAAAGTAGGTTTTGGCATTAGCATTGACGTCTTTGAACGCACTCAGGGAGATTTTATTTATTTTCAACTGGTGAAAATAACGGTCAAAATTCAAACTCTCTCGTGAATACGACTATATAGAATGGTTCACAAAATCAGTTAGCAGGATAGTATTTTTACAATTTTTGGAGCCGAATATATGATAAGAGACTGTTCAACCACAACCGCTTTCAACTAAATATAGACAAACTATATATCGATGATGAAATTTCAACTTTTTTTTTGTTGAGATTTTGTATTCTGATGGTCCTTTGGGATCCCCCAAACTCCATACATTATTCTGAGATTTGATGCTTTTTCAAGATTTTCAAAAATCCAAATCATAAAGGGAGCTTACCTTGGTACTAAAATGATGAAATTTTGTGTTTTAATGATCATTCGGGACCCTCCGAACTCCATACACTAAATTATTTTGAGATTTGAGGCCGAAATCTACAAATAAAAAATTTAAATTCAAATCTCCCGCTTTCTTGTTACTTCCTCTTTGGATTTTTGACAAGCATCTGCAACGTAGCTTGAGATTGTTGCCGATTTTCTAGTAATTAACAAAATCCCAGAATTGTTTTGCGTTTATTATTTTAATTCATAGTTTTTTTTATAAGAATAATTTTATTGTTTAAAAAGACATTTTTGCAGATGGAAAATTCAATAAATAGTAACAACAATTTTCCAATAATAATTTTAAACTTAACATTTGGCAACGCTGCACGCCGACTTTATAATGACACACGTCCATTTTGTTTTATGAAGCGTCCTGTTAATTTTTAAAAGGGCGTGTTTGCGTTGAAATCCGGCTTTTTGTAGTGAATTTTCCAGTTAAAATAAGCTTTTTTTGTCGTCAAAGCTGTATCCTCCATTCGACTTAAAAAGGTAAGTGTCAATTATGAAAAAAACTCAATTTTTACTTTGGCGGGGCCCCCCTAGGCTAGAAATGCACGTTTTCTAGACGAATTAATTGATTTTGCCCCAAATAATCATCAATAGAACCTAATTCATTGAAAATTCTCATTTCCAATTCAAGTTTCAGCTCGAGCTTCAAAATGCGTGGCAGTAGAGGCTACTCATCAAGCTACTCGCCCAGAGGAAGCTCTTACAGGGGCTCGTCAAGAGGTAGTCCTTGGAACAGCGGTGGAGGCAGAGGCGGAGGTAACCTAAATTCAATTTATGATTGTTTCAATTTTACTTAAATTTGATTCTTAGGCTATGGAAAACCCAGGGAATCCTACTCGTCTTCGTTTGAAACTCCTAGGTTTAGCGGCGGTGACAGGTCTTACAAGGAAGACTATCCCAAGTCTTATCGCAAAATGGTAAGAATTATCTCTATTATAAATATTTATTACAATAATAAACGGTTTAATTAAGTTAGTTTTCTTGTACTTAGTATCACAGAATCTATTATAGTCTTTTTTTTTTTTAAAAATAATAATTGTAATCACAGTGTATAGATTTACGTAGCCCATGCATTAGAAGTTTTGCCAGATTGCAGGTGGATTAGTAGAGTTGAGATAGCATCTAATCCACCTGCAATTCAATGCACGCAAATCACCCTGTATAATAATAATTTGTATGGTCATAAGTCTTTATTAATTGTAGGTTTTGTTTTATTGTGTTGTTGTGTCCTAAAAATCTAAAAAAGTCTTTTGAGTGTTTAATATATGCTCAATCTTTAGGTCTGAATCATTAGCTTTGAATCTTCATAGTCTTGGGACATTCAAAATTTAGTTCTTAGCATCTTTTTAAAGTGTGTGTTTTGAATTTTTAATAATTTTAGGCTGGAGTTACCCAATTCCTTACTTCCTAATATTTGTCCTTAATTCCTAAATTTCAAGTTCAATTTATTTAACATTGGTGTTTTTAAAGATTAACAATTAAGAACAAAAATTAAGAATTACTCTTAAGGAATTGGGTAACCCTGGCTCTAATTTATATTGTTGTATTTTCTTAAAACATTCTTTAGTTTGTTTTAAATCATGATCCTTAAAGGAGTCATTAAACTCACTAAAGACTTATTTGTGGTAGTTCAAAGTCTTTAATGATGAGCCTAAAAATAAGAGTCTTTGGAGGTTTTATGAATTTTTCAAATCTCTCTAATAATCATTATGAAAATAAAGAATGGGGCATTTTTGACTTTAGAAACATCACTATGAGTGATGTAATCAGTGGTATAAGAAAACTTGAACCCAAGAAATCCACCGGCCAAGATGAAATACCATCTTATACAGGGTATAAAAAAAAGTGTACCGGACGTCTAGGGGTGATACTACTTATGAAAATAAGAAAAAAAGTTCCTATGAAGATATGCTCCCTGAAGAAGTTACAGCCCTTCAAATGGTAGATGAAAATAATAGATTTTATTGAGAATTTTATGTATTTTCAAGGACAGTGGCAAATTATTTTCCTTGAAATTTGGTATTCTTTTGCATATATTTCGATGCAAAAGCGAATGGTGATAATAAAAAAGTCATAACAGTTCTGAAAGGGTAGTTTCCATAAAAGTAGAAAGTTTTTACTAACAAAACAAAAAAGCATCTTAGGGCATTATGTTCATAGGAACTTTTTTTCTTATTTTCATATGTAGTATCACCCCTCGAAGTTCGGTACACTATTTTTTTTACACCCTGTATGAGGAATGTGCAGAACCCTTGGCTTATCTTTTTGGCATGTCCGTTGAGCAGGAATGCTTACCAGATGTGTTAAAATTGTCAACTATTTCTCCAATTCATAAAAAAAGATGCAAAGAATGACATTCTAAATTATAGGCCTATTAGTTTGTCAAACAGCTTGGCTATAATCTTCTAAAACATTATGAGAAAATATATGAATGTGTAAAACATAAAATCAGCAGGTTTTAGCCTTTGGTTTTAGCATAGTTTTGTAAAGGATAAATCTAGGGGGGCAGTTGGATGTTCTGTACACAGATTGTGAGAAGGCATTTGATAAGGTGAATCACTGTGTTCTCTTAAATACGTTGGTTGAGTTTGGGTTCTCAAGAAAAGCTTGCAATTTGTTGAAATCCTACTTGATGGGGAAAAGGAATAGTTTTAAGATAGGTGATTGTTTCTCTAGTGAATATATATCAACCTCAGGAGTCCCTCAGGGTAGTAAACTTAGACCATTGCTTTCTAAAGTGTTTATCAAAGACTTTTCTGACTGTGTAAATTCATCTATTGGCTTAATATATGCAGACCATTTTAAGCTGTTCAAAACCATGTGTTAAAGAGGATGTTGTCGAGTTGCAAGCTGACTTGAAGTCAATAGTTGAGTGGTTTAGGAATTGTGAAATGTCTCATTGTTTTATAAATGAACTAGCTGACCCGGCGAACTTTGTACCGCCTCTGAATTATTAAATATACCTATTAAATGTTGTGTTAACGTATCTATTAGCTGAATTAAATTCATTTTTGTTCGATGGTGAATTTGGCTTTGGTTGAAGAAAATTAATGTTTACTTTCTAGATCAGAAGTCACCTAAAATTAAAATTTTACATCATCCTTTTCAGGCAGCTTGTGGGCATTATTCTTGTAAAGTGTACCATCAAATAAATAAACTCAGGCACAGGAATGTTCAAAGAATGTAAAAAAAACAAAAAAAATCTCTAGTGCAGCCCTGTTTCACTCTATCTGCCCTGCATACACTGCACTACCCCATCTGTCCTACTCTATCTGATCTACTCTTTCTACACCACTGTATCTGATCGGAATAGTGGAATAGTTCTGTTCGAAATAGCTCCAGTTCCTGAGCAGCATTGTTCTACTGTATCTGCAATGCCGAGCTTCGTTCCAGGTATCAGAGATGGCGTGGTATACAAAATACAAAATAAACTTGGTATCGATTATAAGAGATGGCGCCGTATGCGGGCTTGGTGAATTTTTTTCATAAATAAATAAAATAAGTAATGAAATGACCACATTAATGACATAACAACATGCTGGTACTGTCAACGCTGAAAAAAGTTTCAATTTGACAGCAAAATCCCTATTAACAAAATGATCCTCCATTTATTGAATAATTCATTTATTACAAAAAATGTGATAAATGAAGAACCGCTCGACCGATTTTGTGCAAACTTCACATAAACCATCTAATAAATAGTCCGAACAAAGCCTAAACATTTGGTTTAGCTAGGTGAGCCCGTTCTTGAGTTATAAAATTACAACGAAAAGTGGCATTAATTTTTATATATATAGATTTGGTTGGCATCTGTGGATGACCTTGGCGTTCGCCATATTATTGGTTGGGTGTAGTTGCCATGCTAACTCTCTTAACCCTTTAACGGGCAAAATTATCCTGAAACTATTTTATACAGAAAATGCTAATTATGCAGTCTTCTGGAAACAAGAAAAGATGACATGTCACTAGCAATCGAGTTTTCAATTTTTTTCCTCTCTATATTAGGCGGTAAACCATTTTACCAGAGACCATTTAGGACTAAATATGTAGGTAGTGTTCTCTGGTACAAACCCTATACCACACCTTTATAAATAATGCAATAATAATATGGAACTTCTGGGGATCAGAATAAAAAACACAATAGCTTTTAAACAGATTTATAACAAAAACGAAATATACAATAACTGAAGAAAAATCACATCAAACTCTATAACAAATCCATATGATCCTAAACATGGTCCCACATTTTTCCGAATCATCGGATATTGTGAAAACTGGATTGACAAAATCGAGGACAAAATCAAAAACTAATCAGAAAAATAATGTAATAAAAATTAGTGTGATTTAAAAATTTCCATTATCGTTATCACACCACAAAATATTATTTTGAATGGTAAAATTGACAATTGTATACATTTGAAAGAAAATTTGGGAAAATTTTCCTAGCGCAAAAAGAACAGGATGAAAACTTGATTGATATTTTATGGAGATATGTATAGGAAGCATGTATCAAAATATGAATTTTAGAAAAAATAATTCAAAATGTGTACAAAATTCACAAAATTAGTTCTAAGCTGTAAATATGTATAGTTTTTTACTAACAACCTGAGTACAGCATTAGAAATTTGAATTTATATCTATTCAGTATACATATACATTTACAAGCTTCAATGAGTTTGTAAGCCTAGTTCAGAGGAATAGTTTTGATATAGTGGGGGTGACAGAAACTTGGCTGACAGAGGACACAGCATCTGATTTATTGAGGATTCCTGGATACAATTTTTATAGAAGGGATCGAGGTCAGGGCAGAGGTGGTGGAGTGGGTTTTTACGTGAAAACCTCATTGGGATGTGAATGTCTGAATTTATCAAGCCCCTTAATTATTGAAGGCTATGAGCACTATTGGTTACGTATAAATCTGGAAAAAGCAGTTTCGATATCTGTTGGTGTAATCTATAGGGTGGGAAATAATGTAGCGGAGTGTGTAAATGTACTGGACGATCTACTACCAGAACTTTTACCCATAGATGAATACATTGTTGTATTTGGAGATTTAAACATAAATATGTTCAATATTTATAATCCTGTATATAAGTTATTTGATAGCTACGGGTTTATCCAGGTGATTGATGAGCCAACCCGTGTAACTGGCACATCTGCTACACTGCTCGATCCGATTTTTGTAAATGATAGTCAGGTAGTAAGGGAAAGTGGTACAATGGATTCAAATGGCGTGAATGACCATTTCTTGACATTTTGTAAAGTAAGTATATCCTGGGTTAAAAGGTTTGAAAAGTTTTTGACAGTGAGAGATTATAAAAATTTTGATGAAAATTCTTTTTTAAATATTTTGTCAGAAATACATTGGGATGATTTGTACTACATCCATGATATTGAAGACAAAGTAGAATTTTTTACCCAGAATGTAAAGCAGTTGTTTGACATATTTGCACCAATTAAAACGATTAGAGTAAGTAAGCCCTATTCCCCATGGCTCAATTTTGCAATTAGATCGTTGATGAGGGAAAGGGATAAGGCTAGATGCAAGGCTAAAATGAATAAAACTGCAGAAAATCTTGATGAATATAAAAGACTCAGAAATTTCACTAAAATATCAATACGTAGAGAAAAGTCAGCATACCTAGACTATTTAGAAAGGCAGAAAAATTCCAAAAAAGTCTGGCAAACTTTAAGGGATTTAAATGTTTATATGCCAACGAATAAAATCTCAGATATTCCTCCAGCACTGGCGGATTCAGAAAGAATAAATGGGTATTTCTGCAGTGTTTTTCTAAAAACAAACAACTGTATTAGTAGAATTTTGTATTATAATGGTAATAGGAAAGATGATCAAATTAAATTTACTTTTGGCATGGTGCTTCCATCTGAAGTTTGCAAGTACATTCATAGTATGAAATCGAACGCAGCTGGTATTGATGGCATCACCCTACAAATGTTGAAACAATGTTTACATGTTGTTATACTACATATTACCCACATTTTAAATTGCTGCCTTGAGAGGGGATACTTTCCCAACCAGTGGAAAGATTCCATTGTCTGTCCCCTGCCCAAATCTTATTCTGAACCGGTTAATTTCTCGGATTTAAGACCAGTCAGTTTGCTTCCTGTTATTTCTAAAATTTTGGAAAAAGTAGCACATGCCCAGATAACAGAATATTTCAATAATAATAAGTTTTTTCCAGTACACCAATCAGGCTTTCGGGGGGGGGTCACAGCACAACCACAGCTCTCTTGAATATTACCGATAATATTGTAAAAATACTTGATAGAAAGATGGCTGCTATTTTGGTTTTGTTAGATTACTCTAAAGCGTTCGATGTTATAGACCATGATCTAATGTGTGCCAAATTATCTTTTTATGGGTTCGATGAGAGGGCTTGTTCTTTTTTTGGGAGCTATTTGAGAGATCGTCGACAGTTTGTCAGGTTGCATGGAAACATCTCTCAGCCAAAAAGTGTTGTCTCAGGGGTACCCCAGGGGTCTATATTGCGGCCGTTGTTGTACATTATTTATACAGCAGATATGTTCTCAAGTGCTTCATTTTCTCATATTCAGTCATATGCAGACAACACACAATTGTTGTTTAGTTTTGATCCTGATTATCCGGAGCGGGCCGTGGAGCTCTTGAATTTGGACTTGTCAAATGTAGTCAAATTTTCAAGGGAGCACAACTTGAAGATTAATCCCAATAAGACTGAAATATTGCTTTTTTTTTCGGAGGGCAAAAGAAATAGTCTTTTAAATAGGCTCTCTATAGAAATTGATGGAGAGGTATTGGTATTTGCAAACTGTGGAAAAAATTTGGGCATATATATAGACATAAATTTATCCTTTCAGAAACATATTTCAACTCTTTTAAAAAAAAGTTATATGAAAATTAAACTGCTATACGCGAATAGATATATATTAAACTTTAAAACTAGGAAAAAATTATGTGAAGCTCTCATTATGTCTATATATTCTTATTGTTTTATAGTGTACTACCCATTTTTGAATGCCGTTACTAGGAAAAGAATTCAATATGTCCAAAATACTTGTAGATTTGTATATAAATTAAGAAAGTTTGATCATGTTTCTGCTAATATTAAGACGTTGGGTTGGCTCAAATGTGATAATAGTTATAATTATAATATTACAGTATTTTTAAGAAAGTTAATAATGAACAAAGAACCTATTTATTTGTATGAAAAACTTACTTTTAGAGAGGCTGTGCATAGTCGTAGTTTAAGGGATAAAAATTTTCTAACAATGCCACATCATAGAACTTCATTGTTTCAACGGGGTTTTACTTATAATTCTGTGAAATATTTTAACAAATTACCTGGGCAATTTAAAGAGTGCAATTTTAGCTTTCTGAGATCTAGATATAAGCAACATTTGTTAGCAATATAGTAGTTTATATAAGTTTAGTAAGGAATAAATTTCTCGAGTAGTATTGGAGCTGGATGAAAATGTTCTTAGGGCTTTAGTGTTGTTTCTGTGACTAGGTATTAGTGGGTCTGGTGCAAGTGGTTAAGTGGAAGAATGGCCACAAGGTTAAACTTCGCCATTTTGCACCCTTCGTGAAGTTAAATAAAGGCGATATTTATTTATTTATTTATTTATAATTACCTATTTGATTCGTCAAAATCCCTTCCGGATTATAAATATTGATAAAAAAATGAACTGAAGCCCATAAAACAACATAATTGATGTTTCTCGAGTCCCACTGGTATATATGGTGTACCACTTTTAAAAATACGACCGCATCCAGAAAAATCTTTTGATAAACTGACGTCGGAGATCAACGTATATTGAATAACAATGTTTTTAGGATGATTACAACCAGATTTTTAGGGTTAAATTAAGGAATAAACAAGGTGGTACTAGGTTTACACCAGAGAACGTTAAAGGGTTTTAAGAGACTCTGATTTCTCAATTTGAAGGGATTTTTCAATGCTAACACAGGATTTCGCACATATTCTGCGGGATTGCATCAATTTCCAAGATTGCGCACAGATTTCCTGGGGGTTTTAAAGGATTTCGTGGAATTTCTATTGAATTTGTGACAGTATTGCGCAAAGTGGTTCACCCCTTGGCTACCTTAGTATGTACTAAAATGATGAAATTTCAAATTTTTTTATGTTGAGATTTTGTGTCTAAATGATCATTTGGGACCTCCAAACTTCATACCCAACATTATTCTGAGATTTGAAACTGAAATCTATGAAAAAAGGCACTCAGCAAAATTGAAAAATTGATAAATCACCCCAAATTGCTTAACACAATTTTATGTCAGGAACTATTAGTCCAGATGAGTTGAAATTTTCATCCCCTACTGGAATAAGAATCGCTGAAAATTTCAGCTTTACATCTTTAATAGAAAAAAAGTTATGACCTTCCAAAATCTTAATCATAAGGTAGGCACCTTCTTACTAAATGGATGAAATATCAATTTTTTTTTTGTTGAGATTTTGTGTTGGGATCCCACAAACTCTATACACTAAATTATTCTCAGATTTGAGGCCGAAATCTATGAAAAAAGGCACTCAGAAAAATGGAAAATTGCTAAATTTACCCCAAATTGCTTAACACAATTTTATTTCTGAAACTATAAGTACAAATGAACTGAAATTTTCAGCCGTTGTAGTCCCCTTTCAACTTTCTATCTATAATGGAAAAAAAGTTAGGATTTCTCGAAGTTTTCAAAAATCTGAATCATGATAAGGGAGCCTAAGAAAAAGGGTTTCCAATGAGAATTTTGGATCTACAAAGGTCAAAAATTACCATTTTAAACTGCTAAGGTTCAACTTTGATTGTAGAATTATTACAAAATCATCTCGTCTATATACATTTTTAGCCTGTAGTAACAAGACCAATAAGCAATTGAATGATATTGATTTTTAGGCTTATGAAACAATTCCATTCATATTATTTGTCCTTATGGTAATAAATTAGGTCATAACAACACAAACAATCTTCTGTCAATTTATCATAAAATTTGAAATAAAACTTATCAAATTGATTGGGCACTTACTTAATTGTTCATTCATTGTACAATCATATAAAAATGTTTTTGTATTATCCTACACTTTATCACTAAGATAAAAAATAATAAATATTTTAATAGCTTGAAACATTTTTTTTCAGGAAAGTTACGGTAGAGAGAGACACTCTCCTGATAGAAAGAGGCCTAGGAACGAGGTAAGTCTGATAATGCTTCTAAAAAAAATACCAATTTATTCCACAGGGGGAATAGAAATTACTGAAAGCTGCTGTAGCATGGATCAGTTAAATAATAGGAAAGAAATTAATGCAGATCAAATAACGAGGGTTTAGCTTAAATATAAAAGAAACTAATACATTGGAATATTAAGCGTATAAAAGCCTAGAAAGCCAATGGCTGAATTTTAGAAATTTTTATCTTTGAATTTGCCCATAAATCATCGAAATACAATGATGAAAAATTACCTGCCTGATTGTTTCTAGAACAAGCAAAACAATGTTATTTTTCTTAAAAATTACACAAAAATAGCAATAAAAACAATAATAATTCTGCCCAGGAATATTTTATAATTTGAATGAATGAGGAGCTGATAAACAAAAATATATTGCCGAAAGCTACATCGACCAAAAAAAAAAAGCCTATTTCTTTGGCAGATCGATTAGCGCGTCCCCACTAATAATTTTACTTAACAAAAATTCTTGCACCACATTGTTAGGGTCCGCCGAGGCACGAATATGGTCGTGGATATGACTCGTACCCCTCAGAACGTAGGGAGTATTCTGAGCGCGAAAGACACCCCTCGTCGAGCTCCTACCGCGTTTCTAGCGGCGGCAGACGGGAAGAATTCAGAAAGCCCCCACCAATCGTGAGGGGCGGCGGCAGGGGCCGAATCAGTTCCAGAGGAATAGGATCGTCACGCGGTGGCTTTAGCGTGAGGAGAGAAAGAGGCGGTGGAAGTCTTGTCAGAAGACGATTGGCAGACAGATCTTATATCATCAAAAAACGCGGATTGATTAGATCAGGAGAGTTTTCCAGGAGATCTAGAGGCTCTAGAATCAGGAGGTAATTTTTGATGTTAATATTTTTTCAGGAGTTGCAGCTAAGTGCTGGCACACACTTAAAAAGAAAAGCACAGCCGTTGATATTTGAAAAAAATCACTCAAGTGGATGTGACACGATATTTGAATGGCAAAATGTTTTTGTTTATATTGTTTTAATAATTTTATTCGTAGTAGCTAAGAAAGGAAAATGGATTTAATGCCAGTGATGGAATTACGTCTCAGATAAAGAACCAGTAATGGACAAACTTTCATTAGGATTTGTCCTAAAATTCCAATTTAATATATTTAAGCCTCTGTGTTTTCAAGTTAATCGAATTGACTTATAACCTAAAAGACTAATAGCTGAATGATGCATATTTATTAGACAAAACAATCAAATTAATAAAAACCCTTTTGCTACATACAAGAAGATGACAATTATTGAAAAAAAAAATTATGTCTGTCCTTTTGTTAACGTTAAAAGCTTTTCAGCTTTCAATCTGACAACGTCGCCTGGCCACAAGAAGCTACTATACTATAATCACATGAAGATAAAGAAGAATATGTGACTGGTGTGAATCCAACTCCAACTACTGTTCCTTAATGGAAAATTTCGTCCTGTTTAGGTTATAAGTCAATACAATCACCATAGCATAAAGCGAATTCATAAGAATCGTGCACTTTGGGCCAAGTCTTTCAAATTTGGTATGGTCTTAAGGTTTTAGGAAACTATCGTAAGCAACTTGTGCTCGGCCTCTGGTGGCCTGTTATAAATTGAATGTGGCTGCAATTTGTATTGGTATTTTTAGGAGATTCTCTTCTATAAGACGCAAAATCTTGAGTGATACCACTTTTTATGGGTTAATTGTCATTCTTTAATTGTCCACATAAAATTTATTCGGTGTTGCTGTTTATTTTCACAGTTTTTCTAGCTCTTACGGTGATGGATTTTGAACCCCTGAGATTTGGACAGTACAAGAATTTGAAGGAACTCATCAGAATTTATGAGAATTTGAGGAATTTATAGGAAATTTGGGGAAATTTATAGGAAATTTGGATGAATTTATAAGGAATTTAAAGGAAACCGTAAAAGTTGTTACTCTCCACTGGAAAAATTTGAAATTTTTGGGAAAATGAGCTTCTCACCTTCCTCTTTACATGCAAAAAGTTTCAAAATTTTCCCTTCACTAGTTTTCCAGGAAAACTTTGAAATGTGTTAGACTGTATTTTTAATAATTCAGTTATTGAAGGTTGATTTGCAAGATTCTTTATGTTGTTATTTTCCAATGGAAGAATTTGAAATATTAGGAAAATGAGTCTCTAACCTCCCTCCTCACAGCCAAAAAGTTTTAAAATTTTCCGTTCACTATTTTTCCAGGAAAATTTTAAACTGTGTGAGACTGTATTAACATTTATCTCAGTTTTTGTAAGTTGATTTCCAAGATTCCTCATGTTGTTATTTTCCGCTGGAAAAATTTGAAATATTGGAAAAATGAGCCTCTAACCTTCCTCTTTACATGCAAAAACTTTCAAATTTTTCCCTTCACTAGTATTCCAGAAAAACTGTGAAATGTGTGAGAATGTATTTTCAATTAATTCAGTTATTGGAGGTTGATTTCCAAGATTCTTCATGTTTTTATTTTCCACTGAAAAAATTTGAAATTTTGGAAAAATGAGCTTCTCACCTTTCTCTTTAAACGCAAAAAGTTTCAAAATTTTCCCTGAATTAGTTTTCCAGAAAAACTTTAAAATGTGCGAGACTGTATTTTCAATTAATTCAGTTTTTGTAAGTTGATATCCAAGATTCTTCATGTTGTTATTTTCTGCTGGAAAAATTTGAAATGTTGGGAAAATGAGCTTCTAACCTACCTGCAAAAAGTTTCAAATTTTTCCGTTCACTAGTTTTTCAGGAAAACTTAGAAATGTGTTAGACTGTATTTTCAAATAATTCAGTTATTGGAGGTTGATTTCCAAGATTTCTCATGTTGTTATTTTCTATTGGAAAAATTTGAAATTTTGGGAAAATGAACCCTTAACCTTTCTCTTCACATGTAAAAAGTTTCAAATTTTTGCCTCCACTAGTTTTCCAGGAAAACTTTGAAATGTGCGAGACTGTATTTTTAATTAATTCAGTTATTGTAGGTTAATTTCCAAGATTACTTATGTTGTTATTTTACACTGTAAAAATTTGAAATTTTTTGGGAAAATAAGCTTCTCACCTTCCTCTTCACATGCGAAAAGTTTCAAATTTTTCCCTTCACTAGTATTCAAGGAAAACTTTGAAATGTGTAAAGACTGTATTTTCAATTAATTCAGTTTTTGTGAGTTGATTTCCAAAATTCTTCATGTTATTTTCTGCTGGAAAAATTTAAAATATTACAGCTTAGTTCAAGTTAGTGCAACACAAACAAACAAACCTTATGTCAAATTACAAAAACTTGGCACAAAGTGCACGATTCTTATGAATTTTCAATAATTCCAGCTCCTCTACCATCTAAACTTCAACAAAATCGCCTGTCAATGTTGTTTTCTAACATCCTATTTCAAACCTTTAGCAGTATCGGTAGACGCAGGATCCAAGAATTGCTCAGCGACAGCGAAAAAGAATCAAGCGAAGAAGAGGTAAAGAAAATTAAAACCGAAAAGGCGGATGAAAGCGAAACTGCAGAAGGAGAAGATGCCCCAGCCGCAGAAGAAGGCGAAAAGAAGGCCGACGATGAAGCTGAAGCTGAGAAAAAGGAGAAAAAGGAAAAGAAAGAGTCAACTGCAAAATCTCCTGGCAGAGTTTTTATCAAACTCGCTTGCCCTCAGTGCAACATTAAAGCTCCAACTTTCAGAAGCTACGAGATCCATCTAAGAGGCAGGACTCATTTGATTAACATGCGCAAACTAGCTAGCAAGCAACGACTAATAATCAGTACGTTATTTCACAAATAATTCTAAATAATTCATTCCATATTATTATTATTACAGATCAAATGCGTCAATCTCAACGTAGCGCTCAAAACGAGCTAGAAAAATCTGGAGATGGCATCACAGTGCACACTGTCTATTGTCCCGTATGCAAATTGAACTACAAGCAAGAGCGCGCTGTGCATCAAGCCACCTCCGCTCACGTTAACATGAAGGCTTTCCTGATGCCCAAATGCAAAGTGTGCAAGATTTCATTCAAAAGCCCAATGGTTTATGAGCATCATTTGTGCAGCATCGAGCATTTGAAGGTGAAGCAAAAGAGCGATGCCCCTGTTGCTGAAGTGGAAGAAGATTTGAACGAATTCACTACAATCGATTCGGTTGGCGATGAAAAAGCCGCCGAAGAAGCTGAAAAGGAGGCCAAGAAAAAGACAAAAGTCAACATTGGGGCTGAAAAAATTATGAAAATTGAAGCGCATTATTGCGACATGTGCCGCATGTTTTTGCCTATTGGAACTGAAAATGAGTATCCGGATATTTTGGCTAGCCATTGCAGGAAACACTTCCATGTGTCGCGTTATATGAGATACAAGGAGAGTGAAGAGATTAAAGCTAAAGCTGAGAAGTTGCGCCTCAAAGAACTTGCTGAAAAGGAAGCTAAAAAAGAAGATGATGGTAAGTGACTAGTGTTTTTTTTTTGCAAGTTGTAATTTTGTTTGAATTAGGTGAAAAAGCATCAGATGAGCCTGCTGGTGACGTTGAAATGGCTGATGCAGATGTTTCCAAGTCTGCAGAGGATGATAAGCTTTGGGATGCCGTAGACAAGGATCTCGGTGAGCTGTTGGAAGAGGAGACCAGGGATGATGAAGATGATGAGGAAGGTGTTAATGGAGAACGATATGACAGGTGAAAATTTGTTTAAAGTAATTTATTTTTTTACTAAATAAATTGTTTGTAGATTCAAGAGTGCAGATGCAGGTAAAGATGCAGACCCATTGAAAGCTGAAAAGAAGGGCCAAGAAGTCCCTGAAGCTAAAAAATAAATATTTAATCGTTGGCGCTTCAGCCTTTTAGTTAGTAGTTTTATCTGTCGGAAACATGTGTTAGATTTAGATGTGTGCAATTGATTTTTGAGAATTCGTTGTTTGTGTTTTGTATACATCATAATCTGACTATTTGATATATTGTATTCATTTACGTAAAGGTGTCGTGTAAGTAGATTTAATTGTAGTTTAACTTTCAGTTTAATTGTAATTTTATGTTTAGTGAAATAAACATGCGGAAAGCTTAAAATTTGTGTTTTTTTTTTTTTTTCTGAGATGGAAAGTTAACTATGCAAGCAAACCTGGTGAAAAGTGTCACATAAATAATTTATTAGTAAAGTCAATATCTTTATAATAAATTATTCACCAAATAATAATAGAGATATAAAATAAATACTCGTTGAAAAATGAGGCTCAAATTGACATTTGCGTGCTGGGATGTTTTTGAAGATGTATTGCGCCATCATGAAAACTTAATGAGACACGTCGTCGTTATTGAAATAATAACATACTTATTAAAAAACCAATAATATTTAATAAAGGAGACCATGTACCTACCTATTGTTGCTGAGCAAACAATACAATATAATAACGATTGTCGTTAACTGCAGCTTGAGCACTTAGACATTGTTTTCATTTGAATAATATATAAAGCAAGAAAGTCATTTATCTTGTAAAATTAATGGATTTCCACGAAAACCATGATAAAACTTATTATCCATTAATGTGGATTTAAGTTTTGATGTCACCTTATAAAGGTGTAATACATAATTGCTTCATAATCCATTAGATACGAAGATGATTAATTCTACTTGATTGTCACCTTCAAAAAAAAACTCCTTTATTATAATAATAACTAATTTCCTGGAATCAGGGTTCTGATATCGATCTCCCACTTCCTAGCACCGCATAGAAAACGCCAACGCCATAATTCATTCAAAAATAGTTCCGAGCATAATAATGCTGTTTCAGCCTATTGTTAATTTTTCAAGACAATGTATAGGGGTATCAGTTCGATCCAAAACCCCTAGTTGGGGGGCCGTTGGGGGGATGATTTCCCACCAGCACAACGCATATCGGCCGTCCGTGTTTCGATGAAAACCAGTCACAGTTTGGCGACGGTGGCGTCTTCGCTTCAGCGTTTCGTGGTGCACGAATGTTCTTTGAAGTGTCCGTGAACTTGCTCAACAAGAAACCATCCATCACTGTGAGTAAAGACGAATTTGCGTGTAGACCGGATTTTTTCGTTTGAATTTACTTGGGGGTCTTGTTTTGAAATTTATAGATACATTTATAATGGGGATTTAAGTATCCTGAATACATTTGAAACTTCAAAGTAAAAAATAATTGGATTGAAATTTTACAAATCTTCATATTTAAGTGTTTTGTTAACTTTAGACTATACCATATAAGTACATAACTACATACGCATGTCTATTTCAAAATACATATACAGGGTGATTGATGCTGGATGGTAGGTTAGGTGCTTATGGAAAACGGAACGTTGGATATTTTTGAAAATTTTCATGCCCAAGCAATTGCTCCTGATCTATCATTCTAAAATAATTTCAACAATACGACGTTGCCGCTTATACCAAAAAGTAATATAAAGTTTGATATTTTAAATGGGACACCTTCTATATTATTGCATTTTCCGCTCTACTATTTCATTCTGATTATTTTTGTATAATACTGTTCTATACCTATCTCTAGTGATTTCCGACTTATCAATTAATTTCTTTATTTTTTCGCTAAAACATAGCTCTATACAGGGTGTCACGAAAGGTTTGTTACAAACTTCTAGGGATGGTAGATCTCGTAAAAATAAAACTTTTTTCTTGATAAACATGTGTCCGGAAATGCTTCGTTTTCCAGATATACAGGGTGGCCCAAATTTGAGCCTCATCATTAGGATCTCGGTAACCGTAAGAGATACGGGGTCGGTTAAATTATGGCAAAGTTGCGCAATTTTATGACCAATAGAATACCGTTTTGAAACTAGAAAGATTCCTAATACTTCCGGAGATATTCGGAAAAAACCAAAATTATGAAAAATTGTTTTTTTTCCCGGGCTTATTTGAAAAGCAATTTTAAAATGAATGTCACTTCATCATTGTCACTTCTTCCCCTTTAGAAGATGGTGGTACTAAATTTGAAATTCGACGTTTCGTCTTCAGGCGGCCATCCTTAAGTTACGTTTTTTAAATACGAATCTAGATTTTTTATTTGCGATTTTGTCATCTTTGGGCATCCTAAAACCGATACTGTTTATAATTTTTCAATAACACTGTAAAAAAGCAGGTCCGTATTTGAAACCGAGATCCCAATGATGAGGCTCAAATTTGGGCCACCCTGTATATCTGGAAAACGAAGCATTTCCGGACACATGTTTATCAAGAAAAAAGTTTTATTTTTACGAGATCTACCATCCCTAGAAGTTTGTAACAAATCTTTCGTGACACCCTGTATAGCGGAATATCGACTAAAAATCACATTTTGAATATTCCCGATTTTTGATTGACTCCAAATTATCCGCAGACCAATAGAATTATAGGCTGTGCCTGTGCCCCGTGATTAAAATAACTCTAGCCCTTCGGGTTCGTGTATAACTCCGGCCTTTCGGGTTCGTATTACTATATCACAGAATTTTGTCGTGGAGGCGCAGGATTGATTGAAATAATGTCAGATTTTTCTAAATTACATTGAAATATCGGAATTTGGAAAGTGTAATTTGTGAATTATTATTTTAATTAGGAATCAGGAATAAAAAACTGAGATTGAATTTTCAATTTTTTGCCTGCCTTCTTTGACGAGCCGCCACTGTTAATGAATATCCGATACCAGGAGACCGTACTAATAATCCGTCGCACTTCCGTGAAACTTTTAGGAACTGGAACTTCCAACATACCCTTAACCTTGTCGGAGTAAACATGTAGGCCATATATACCTGTCAACTAGGTACAGGGTTATTGGTTATAAATGTCACCCCCCTCTATCTTTTTTATTTGACATTTTAGAAAAAAGTGTCCCAAATAAAAAATTTATGGTTGAAATTAAATTTTTTGAAAAACTCGTTTTTGTATATACAGGGTATTTCAAAAAAGTTGGTCGTGCTCCAACTTTTTTATTTTAAATTGAATACCCTGTATATTATTCAATATTCGGATTCTACGTCAAATTCTGAGCAGATTTCATGTGATAATTTGAGCAAAACCGATCTTACATTTTTTTCTAAGATTTTCACAAGTTATAATTTGACACTAACTTTGAATTTAACCGAAGATTAAATTCAATTGGAATTTTCAATCATGGATTAAATTCAAATATTGGTGTCAACTGATAGTTTTTAAAAATCTAAGATAAAAATGTAAGGTCGGTTTTGCTTTAAAATTAACCGTTTAGGATTTACAGCCTGTCAAAGTTGCAAAAAAGTCAATTTTCAACTGTCAATATTTCCAAAACAGTTGAACTTAGGTATAGGGTATATCACATCAAATCTGCTCAGTATTTTACGTAGAATCCGAATATACCAATAATATACAGGGTATTCTATTTGAAATAAGAAATTTGGAGCACGACAGCTTTTCTGAAACACCCTGTATATGCGAAGATGACTTTTTCAAAAAATTTAATTTCAACTATAAAACTTTTATTTGGGACACTTTTTTCTAAAATGTCAAATGAAAAAGATAGAGGGGGGTGACATTTATAACCAATAACCCTGTACGTAATCCAATAAATTCAAATAAATTTTTCGTATGCCTAGCAGATGTCCGGTCGCTAAATATTATAATTTTTTGAACTCAGCACTGACATAATTTTCAGTGGTTGAAATCCCCGAAGAGAGAAAATCGGTCAGCAAAATATGTCATTATAGCTGACGGTCTATTAGGTTGGCTTCACGAAGTCTTCCGAATACCTCCTCTGAGTCGCGGCAATGTATCGGAAAATCTGATGACACGATGACAATATCATCGGCTCCCAAGATATGGTCGATTAATCGCTGCCACGTTCCAGGGGCGTTATGCAGGCCAAAGGGAAGTCTTTTAAACTGAAACAATCCTCTGTTCGGTACTGTAAATGTATTGTCTAGAACTCTCAGCAACAGGAACCTATTGCGAATAAGCTGACTTAATATCGAGAGTGGACAGATATTTTGCATCTTCCAATTTGTCCAGGGTGTCGCTGATCTGGGGTAAGGGGTAGCTATCCCTTTCGCAAATGGCATTCAACTTACGCTAATCAACACAAAGGCAAAAAGAACCATTATTTTTTTTTACCATTACCACCGACGACGACCAAGGACTCTTCGACTGTTCGATGACACCAAGCTTCAGCACTTTGCCAATATGTTGTTGCATTACTGGAGATACACGATAGTAGCATTGCTTGATTGGTCTAGCTTTCGAGACAATAACGTGTTCGGCCTTACCGGTACAGCCCAAAGTACTTCCCATGAAGGAAAAACTGGTTCCCAGCAGTTCGTCCAAGTGTTTTGTCTCTTTTGGCGTCAAAACAGATCCTTCAGTTATGTCAATTGAGTTTACTTCCGGCAGATAAGAACCTTTCATTATGCCTAAGATCCGGAACAATACCCATCTACCCCCAAAATCAACGTGTGAAGAAACTCTGCAATGACAACTATCTTAACCAAACGAATCTTACTCCGAACTGTCATTGGAATTTCACAAGTCCCGATACTGTGGCAAGGCTGGCCATTCGCTACTCTGCAAGTAGGTGTTAAAGGTTCTGACGAGACAAAGATCTAGGTCCTTCACTAATGTCCAACCTGTACAACCAAGAATAGTGCGCGATGCTTCAGAGTCTAATAGCCCTAGGATATCCTTTATCAAAATGTCGACTCTAAAATAAGGCCTCTCGTCGCCATGAGCGTGCTTCAGGACAAAATCTATCATTGATCGTAGTTCTCGCGCTCACTAAGTCTTTTGAGCGACCTAGGAGCGCTTCCCGAGCGTCAATTTGGACAAGTGTTGACGGTGAAATGCCTCTTTCTTGCAACGGAAGTAGTACTTCGGTTTCAAAGCACAACCAACTTTGCTGTGACCCGGCTTCTTGCAACGGTAACATATAATCTCTGTATCAGTCTTAGAAGGACTTTGATTGTGCTTTACTGTGGCCGATTCTTTCCTCCTCGACATATGCCAAGTCAGGCTCCAAGACATACCTGGAAAAAAACGGCTTCATTTTCCAAATCCAGGTTACTATACTCCTCTTTACCTTTACCTGCTCTAAGTACACGCTATTTTTGGTGGAAAGAAACTGCGCAGGCGCAGCTGTCAAATCTTATGTTAGCGTTAACGTATTTTGTCTAACTTAAAGTGTCTAATGTGTCATGTGTCATACGCAAAAATACTGTCATTGTCGTGTTCTTGTCTCGCCCCTACTCACGATGTTTTTGACAGTTCAAACCAATGACGTCACGAAAGTCTTACCATAGGCATCTATGCAAGTTACCATAGGAATCTTTGGAAGTGGGCTACCCATTCTACCATGACTATTTCTCTACTTTCAATTTTGATATTGTAGAAAATCGCGTGGTTTGAATCTCCTAATATCTTTCATCGTGGCATTTTATAGATATTCAATGGCTTTTCCAGTTGGTAGAATGAGTGCAAAGAAAATCTATTTCTATCTGTTTCTTCAACAGGCTGAGAGAAAGAGATGGAAATACACTTAGTGCGAATTAAAGCAACCAATCGGAAATGCCATTAGACAAATATCCCAAAATAATCCAATTCTAACAGAAACTTGCTTATATTTCAGAAACCTTACTATTTAGGTATAGAAACATAATATATCATTTTTAAAGGATTTTTATTGCCTTTTATATACATCATAATATACAGTGTGCTCCATTTGAAATAGTATATTGTGCAACAAGTGTTGAAAATAGCACTGTGAGGGGTTTGTGCCACTCGCCTGCGGCTCGTGCCACCAAACTTCCCCACGCGTGTGAAAAGTGCGTTTCACACGCGTTACACACTATACTTTTTCTACGACTGCGAAATAACTATAACTATATTGACATTGGAATTTATTTATTTATTTTTTTGTTGAAAAATTATTATTTGAAATTATAATCAACGAACAATTTTGGTACGTACGCTGAATGCACTCAAAGTTGCTTGTAGAACAAAAATTCGATGGAAGTGTCATTTTTATTTTAGCGTGCGAAAAATACTTTTCGCACGGTCGGAGCGTGTGAAAAGTACTAAAAATAATCGATTTTCTAGGTAAGTTAGTAGTGCGTTTTTAATAGCTTTCTAGGCAGTCGTAGGAAAAAGTAATATGCAGGACGTCCCTAAGTTATCTCCAAAATTTGAACTCTCTACGAATCTCAGTGACGTAGTAATACAAATTGAGCTAGAGCTATGCTTTGAAGAAAAAATAATTAATAAGTCGAAAATCACTAGAAATAGGTATAGGACAGTATTATACCAAAATAATCAGAATGTAATAGCGGAGCGAAAATTGCAATAATATACAAGGTGTTCCATAAAAAATATCAAACTTTATTATACTTTTTGGTATAAGCGGCAACGTCGCATCGTTGAAATTATTGTAGAATGATAGATCAGGAGCAATTACTTGGGCATGCACATTTTCAAAAACATCCAACATTCCGTTTTCCATAAGTGTCTAACCTACCTACCTACCTACCTATGGATTGAATCCCGATATGCGTTCCAAAACGGGTCACCGTCAATTCGTCGTAAATCAATATGTCGTACGTCAATTCGTCGTAAAGTCAATTCGCCGTATACGTCAATTCGTCGTAAAGTCAATTCGTCATAACATTATTTCGACGTATAGATAATTCGTCGTATAGGTACGTCAAATCGTCGTATTTCAGGTATTATGTTAAAATATTGAAATATATAAATTCACACTGTCTAGTTATTTGAGACATTACCAAACTTACCGATAATAACTCGGCTGGTTTGCAATTTGAATCAGACATTTCATTGCAAACTAACCGGGTTATTATCGGTAAGTTTGATAATGTCTGATTAAAATTGCAAACTATTAACACGTTAATTCGTCGTATACGTCAATTCGTCGTATTATTAATTCGTCGTATTTCAGGTACGATGGTAAAATGTACTTATAACGACGAATTACCTATATTGTCGTATACGTTACTTTACGACAATTCGGTAAGCTTGATAATGTCTGATTAAGGGCGGGTATTATAAAACTGCTTTGACAGTAAACTTGAAGTTAACTTTTTGAATTACATGTAATTCCAGAAGTTAACTTCAAGTTAACTCTCAAAGTAGTTTTATAATACCCGCCCTATATAGAAAAAGTGCAAATTTATACATTTTAAAATTTACCTGAAATACGACAAATTAACGCTACGACAAATTGACTTTACGACGAATTGACTTTAAGACGAATTGACGTATACGACGAATTGTCTTTACGGCGTATTGATTTTACAACGAATTGACGTACGACAAATTGACTTACGACGAATTGACATGGACCCTTTCAAAACATACACTCATTCAGAATTCAGAGATTTTGAGGGTGAAGATCTTAAAAATAGAATGAACATGAGACCCTATATAATCAATACAATCTTCAAATCACAACTTTGTCTATTTCTACCCTAATAGAGGTATTACCCCAAGGAAATTAGACCAAAAAAAGGGCCATCTGCGGAATGAGGCCGAACAAGCTGAATTTTTGCAGAGACCTTCATTTTGATGTTCTTATGAAGCACAAAAAAATCGAATCTGCCTACCGTTGTGCATCTTAAGACATCGGAGGTATAGGATAGGACACTGATGGTCGGAAGTGCGTCATTTCCAAAATACAGGGTGTTTAAATGTAAACAACCACCTTTCAGATCATCTGAAGGGCTAATACTAGGCTGTTCAAATTTCCAGGGATTAGTGATATAAGTATGATATTTAAAAATTCGTATGATGCACCCCCATTTTTTACCTGGAACCATCCCAAAAAAAATTTAGAAATTTGAAAAAAAAAGCAATTTTTTCCAATTTTTTTCTTTTTTTTGGGGTAGTTCTAGATAGAATATGGGGGTGCATTATAGGAATTTTCAAATATCATTCCTACATCAATAATCCCTGAAAATTTGAACAGCCTAGCATTAGCCATCCAGATGATATGAAAGGGGGTTGTTTAAATTTCAACACCCTGTATTTTGGTAACGACGCACTTCCGACCATCGGTGTCCTATCTCAAATTACTTCTCTATGGTTCCTCTATATACCCTAGCATTTTTGACCAGTTGAACTGGGACACCCTGTATAATACATTATCACCTCTATTTTGAATATCCGCTTTATCACGCTATATTTCGAAAACGGTTGGTCGTATAAAAAAATGCATAAGAAGAATTTTGTAGAAAATACTATTTTACGTAAGTTATGTTTTGAGTTCTTCGACGTCAGACGAGATTTTCGCAAAAAAAAAAACGATTTTCGTGACCTTTGACCTTCGATATCTCAAGACGCACAAGGGTAGGCATATTCGATTTTTTTGTGCTTCATTAGAACATCAAAACGAAGGTCTCTGCAAAAATTCAGCTTGTTCGGCCTCATTCCGCAGATGAGGAAGTCTAAATTTCCCTGGGGTATATGATGGATGTTTTTTTCTAAAGTTCACTCGGAAATGAGCTACCTAATCATTATTTTTAAGGACATCTATCCTCCAAATGGCGATAGCGACAGAAACAGCGACGCCTGGCTACCAATGGAGAAAACCAAAAGAGTATTTTTTGTAACGAAACTTTCCAACACTCCGGATTTGGAGATGCTGACCATGCCAGGAGTAAGACTATATTATAATATAAACATAAATTCAATAATAATAATATTGTAGGTGTTATTGGAAGAAGACATCGAAGACGAAATGGGAGAACCAATCATAGTTTGCTGCAAAGAAGCCAAAGCAGGATGCAAGCGAGGCAGTCTCACAGCAGGACTCAGCCCAACTGAAAGAAGATTGAGGGAATTGATACAAGTTGGAGCATATGGGTATGGAATCAAGCGTCAATAAATCAAATCACAAAGTTGTTTTTAGGGCAGCAATAAATCATACTGCGGCACTTTTGGCTCTATATGGACAAGGAAGAGGCAAACAAGGCCACCGTACAACGCATTCGCCTCAATCCCTACAAATTTGGTACATCCGAATAGCTTTGCTAGTGAAAATCAAGTCTTTCGCAGTTGCTCAAGCTGAAGCTCAGCCGTTTAGTCAATTAGAAAAACCCGACATTTTTTATCAGTATTATCCAGAATTATATGGTAATCGTACAGGATCGATGGCGTCATTCAATTTCCGATTACTTTTAGCTGAACTACCGATGATTTGTGGCAAACCAAAAGATTCTTTGCGAAAACTGTTTTGCATTTGGGCCACCATAAAACGGATGCTTAAAAACCTCAAACAAGGTTTATGCGAAGATGGTTCCTCATCCATCAGCGATACAGACAAAACCAACTCCCTAAAACTATGGACAATTCGCGAATCCAAAGTGATGTACTCGATAGTAAATTGCTCGTGCTCGATAAAAGATTACGCTTTAGCTATCGAAATGCTGGTACACCTTTGCGAAAGAGACGGAGCCCCAAAACACGTGCTCTTGTCCGCTCTGGGACGTTTACATTTACAAACCGGAAATATTTCCGATGCAGAAGTTTGCTTTAACGAGTCCAGCCATTGCGGTTCCAATAGCGTCAGGGGTTTGGTAGACAAAGGCCTATTGGCTATAGCTCAAAACAACTACGAAGAGGCTTACGTTTGTTTTCAACAGGCCAACTGTTTGGATCCATCTAATATCATGGTGACTTAATTTTGCACCCTAAAACATGACTCATCAACTTATATTTTGTAGATCCTCAACAACATGAGTGTTTCCTTATTTCATGCAGGACAAACCAAAGAAGCCATAGCGGTTTTGGAATCTGCCATATCTTCTAAGCCTGTAGGCGGTGTTCATGAATCTCTTATTTTGAATTTGTGTACTTTGTACGACATGCAATCGTCCAGGGGTATTATGAAAAAGTTTGCTTTGTTGCGGCAAATGTCCAAATATAGTGCCGACGCTCCTACGACAATTTTGGAGAAACTTTACGGATAATAATTTATTTTTGTTTGTAATATTTACCATTTTAAAGTTAAGTGGTGAATTTAGGATTTTTATTGATATACAGGGTGTTCAATTAACATATTAGATTTAGAGCATATCAGAGTAATAATTAATGCAGATGATCGAATAGTTTAAATGAAATATATGGAGCTGGGTATTAAAGATTTTTAAATTACCTGCGACCGGCCTCTAGTGAGTTTAAAAAAATAAGTATAGAAAATTTTATAAGGTACCAATATGAAATATAATAATTACATTTTATCTCTGGATGATGTTTTTTAATGTCTTTCAATTCCCTCTGCTATTGAATAATAAGTAGGTATACCTATACCTACTGACTGAGAAAAGTTTTTTAGGTTTTTGAAAAACCGACCCTTAGAGGTCAAATTGGAGGCTAAAAAATGATTATTTATAAAGTCTCAAAATTCTCAAAAAGTCTTCTGAGCAAACTACAGTTCCTTCAGAAGTTTTATCATTGTATAAGTAATAATTGTCTGTGCTAGGACCAATTATTTAAGATCCAAATTCTCGAAACTGATTTTTTAAAATCCCATTAAATCGTTTCAATTATCAGTATTTAAGATATTTTGAGCACCCTGTATAGATCCTTAAGCTTTATGATATTGTATGATCGAAAGGTTCCCAGAAGGGATTCTAAATTCACACTGGGGCCTGGGGCCTTATTCTGTAAGGAACGAACCTTTCGATTCGGTAGAATTTCTTCGATTGTGACGTCATTTTCGGTTTGGTTTTCGCGCTACCAAACCGAAAATGACGTCACAATCAAAGAGATTCTACCGAATCGAATGGTTCGTTCCTTACAGAATAAGGCCGCCGGGCCCTTCGGTCCTTCGGGCACGTCACAGGTTCTAGAACAATCAATTTATACCCAAACTAGACTTCTCAAGTGATTCTCTGGGGTGTCCCAAAGATTAAAAACTCGTAGAATTCAAATTAGGAGTACTTGGGCTTACAAAATTTTCAAAATTCAAAATATACATATTATCCATTCACAATCTGTAGTCCAAAGGTACAGGTAAATTTATCACTTTTCCCTATCAAATAAATCAAATAGCATTGAAAGATGATAAATTTTACCTTTGGACTACAGATTGTGAATAGACAATGTGTAGGTATATATACATATCTATAATTATGTTCATTGATAACCAATATGAACAAGTACTATTGGGTCTAGTAGATAAAATAGGAGCATCTATAATTAGCCAATATTCCCTAAAATCAACACTGGCAAAAAGTGAATAGCTTTATACAGGGTGTCACATCAAAAACCATATCGATCTATTATGAAAAACTGTATGCAGAATTTTTTTGAAAATTTGACAGTATACCTATATACTAATGTCAATGAGGCAATTTGACTAAAATATTTTCAAGATAGTGTCACTTCCTGTTATACTGGAAGTAGACGTCAACTTGCAAATTTTCAAAAATTTCCTGCATACAATTTTTCATATATAGATCAACAGTTTTCTGACTATTCTCAACCAATGAAATTCGTTCTAATTGATTTGTGATTTCTGTAAGAACAGAGGCTTTTTCTTTTCCCGCATCTCAAATGTTTTAAAACCTTTCTCAAATGTTTTAAAACGTTTTTCAAAACTGGTTTGAAACAGTGTCATATGACGTCATAAATTCTCGGCGCGAGAAAATGGTTTTAAAACGTTTTAAACGATTGTATTCAAGGGTGTTTGAGACAGGTAGTAGCAGGTTGCCTGATAACTGTATGACGTCATTATTTGGATTGTATTTGGAAACGGTTTGATTTGACCAATTTTGATGTGACGGTGTCGTCATGGGTTTATCGCGAGAATATACTGTTTCAAACTTGAACCAGTTTCAAAAAAGTGAACGCGAGAAAACAGGATTTGGCCTGCGAAAGAATGAAACAAAACACATCTCTATGATTTCCAACATGGCGTTGCTGAATAATGTCAAATTCCGACTTCGCTGTATAGATTGATGGCGGCTGTAATCTTTGACGTTTGCTAGCTCGATAATAGATGGCGCCACATTAACTAGTGTAATTTAATCAATAATTTCAAGTAAATCGCATTCAACAGACTCGAGATTATCATAAAATGATTTAAGGCGATTTTCAGCCTGGAATGATTATTAATTGGTTATAACCAATGCATTTCCGCCATCGCGGTTTTAACCAAAGTAGGGGAAGTTGTGACGTCACATATCAGATTTGCTTTTGGGTATTTACCACTTATAACCGATTATAACCCAGCTTTGGACTTGGGTTAATTTTTTGGTTACAGCTTTTTGATGTTATTGTTATTATTTTTGGATTTGTATTGATGTTTTGTGGTTTTGCAGTTGCGTTGTAGCCTAGCACAATGAAAGAAGTATACATTCACTCACTCACTGCAATTCACCATGTTTAGATCATCCCCAAAAAAAATCTGTTCGATAAACGAGACTAACGAGAGATTCAGCGCCATTTTTTGTACCTAAACAAAAAACTATTGTTGAAACGAAAAAACAAATAAGAATAATAAACATAATCCTACACTGCTATAACCAAATCATTTCAGCGGTCAGTTCCTTGGGTTATGATTCTTGAATGGTGGGTGGCTATGATGTCACACTTGGCTGTCAAAGTTGTCAACCAAAAGAATAACCACGGTATTTACCGATTAATAATCATTCCAGGCTGAAAATCGCCTCTAAACAAAAAACTATTGTTAAAACGAAAAAATAAATAAGAATAATAAACATAACCCTACACTGCTATAACCAAATCATTTCAGCGGTCAGTTCCTTGGGTTATGATTCTTGAATGGTGGGGGCCGGCTATGACGTCACACTTGGCTGTCAAAGTTGTCAACCAAAAGAATAACCACGGTATTTACCGATTAATAATCATTCCAGGCTGAAAATCGCCTCTAAACAAAAAACTATTGTTAAAACGAAAAAAGAAATAAGAATAATAAACATAACCCTACACTGCTATAACCAAATCATTTCAGCGGTCAGTTCCTTGGGTTATGATTCTTGAATGGTGGGGGCCGGCTATGACGTCACACTTGGCTGTCAAAGTTGTCAACCAAAAGAATAACCACGGTATTTACCGATAAATAATCATTCCAGGCTGAAAATCGCCTTTAGATTAGATATATATAAAAACGATAAGAACTATCCTAGGACAATTAATTGTCGTTTTCTTCCGTTGAAAAATAGCTCAGCAGTTCGAACCGACACTTTTGGACCGAGTGTCAAATGACTCTTGCACTGGTTTGCAATATTTCACTGCTTTTAAATTTGAATGTAGCTGCTAAAGGGCGGGTATTATAAAACAATTTTGATAAATAACTAACAGTTAACTTCTGGAATGACGTCATAGTCATTTCAGAAGTCAGAAGTTGATTTTTAGTTATTATTTTGACAGAAAACTAAAAGTTATAACTTCTGGAATTTCATAAGGTCTGTTTCTGCAGAAATCACAAACCGGTCAAAGTGAATTTCATTGGTTGAAACTAGTTTTCCTGACTGTTTCTGACTGTTTTCAACCAATGAAATTTGCTCTGACTAGTTTGAGATTTCTGCAGAAACAGACCCAGAGTTCTACCTCAACGGTAATTCCAGAAGTTAACTCCTAGTTTTCTGTCAAAATAGTTTTACAATATTTAGTTACCCTAAGGGCGGGTATTATAAAACTGCTTTGACAGTTAACTTGAAGTTAACTTTTTGAATTACATGTAATTTCAGAAGTTAACTTAAAGTTAACTCTCAAAGTAGTTTTATAAAATACCCGCCCTAAGGGTCGGTTTCTCAATAGGAGGTCACCCCCGAGTTAAGGATTCAGGGAAGACATAGAAACTGGGCACGCTTACCCTAGAATTAAAACTAACCTGGAGGTGACTCGCTATTGAGAAACCGGCCCAGTAGTAATTCCAGAAGTTAACTTTCAATTATCTGACAAGATAGTTTTATAATACCCGCCCTAAGCCTAGTTTGACTTCAAATATGCGCACATTTGTGCACACAATACTAACAACTCTTACCTAACCCAGTGTTTGTTAACTCCACCTAAAATGGATACTTGAGAAATACAATACTTCTCAGTTAACTCGAGGTTAAGATTAATACCGGGTTACAAATTGTTAAGATTAACACTGGGTTAGTTAACGCCAAGTTATTTCCAAGTGAGAAACCGCCCCATAGCGCGGAAAGTATTTTTTCCTACGACCACATACAAAAATGACAAAATCCGCACTAGCTGGTTCTTTGGAAAGCGCAAAATATCACACACATGTTGAAAGTACATTCAATACGCTTGTTAAAAATACTTTCAGCACACGTGTAGAAAATACTGTTGACATTATTTGTGATTGACATCACAATTTACTTTCAATAGTTGTATTCCTTTCAAGAGTTTGAAACACTCGTTGGTTGAACATACGTGGGTTGAAAGCAAGGATGATACACACTACTACTACAGGATGGCCTATCCTCATAAGGCCTGTGTGTAACAAATCCCCCCCTTCCCCCCTACTTCAAACAACCAGTTGTGACGTAAGCAGCATGGCGTTTCTCGCCTTGACGTAGGCTGTTAAACAGCTGACGACTTAGTTATGACGTCGGCAATGGTTGAAAACCAATATGGCGGCGATTACCAAAAACGAGACCGATAAGCACTCCTTAGAATGTGTATTCTCCTTGTGCTAACCTAACCTCACTTTGTCCTCCTGCTGTCAGATTTGTCAATTAATTTTGTTACGAAAATTAAATAAGAAACTACATAGCTCGTGCCTATTATCTATTAATCATAGAAAAAGTATAGTATTCTACTCGTGGGTAATGGCTATTACTCACTCGGATGATTACACTACTCGCCTGCGGCTCGTAGTGCATCCTTCGTGAGTAATAGCCATCATTTCATTACCCGCTCATTGAATAATATACTATTTTTCAACAATGCCATGCGCGAATATGGTCAAGGATAATACAAACTACTACAGGATTGCTTATCGGCCTCGTTTTTGGGAATCCTTGATCGCGGTCATTGAGGTGTTTTCTCGCGTCTCAAAGTTTTGAGAAATGTTTCTGGGTTTAAAACAGTTTCACAATGATGTCATAATTTCTCGGCGCGAGAAAATGGTTCTAAAACGTGGATTGGATTGTATTTCGAACCGGTCTGAACCAATTTTGATGTGACGTCATGGGTTCATCGCGAGGATATACTATT